AGTACAATTTAATCAAGATTCAGATTAATTGATTACTTATGAGGAAGATGTAAAAACAAAAGACATTCAATTACAATTAACTATCAGATGGAAAAGAAAACTTTGATTGAAAGTTGATTAGATTATAATAAGATGTTGTATTATTTGGAAAGCAAATTGATTGGCACAGTTAATTGTAAGGTTGTTAATTTCATGTTGATGGTAAAACCTATTATCATTAACTAACTAATTTAAGTATAAGAAAACTGGATTAAGGTGAAAACAACAATCAAAGTAAAAGGGCTAAGCCCAAAAATCCCTATTGTTCATCATCATTATCATCACAATGTTAAATTCATATATACCTCAGGTAGTCAATTGTATATTATTATCATGATGATTAACTGATTGTGTTACAAATGAATGAATGAAAATTAATCAATATGAAAAGCATTAATATTACAAGAATAGATTCATCAATACAATTGATTTACAATCTATTGTTGATTAAAAGGGATATTTAATCATAACCATGATCAATTCAAAGCCAAGCCTATGGATAGTAAATATTTTAATTGTCTAATCAAATTGTAAGTAAATTAATTCGTTGATTTTTTTTTTTGGTTTATTTACCAGATTAAAGTTGATCAAATCATTGGAATCAATTTATAATTGTAACATGACCTAAATTGTGATTAAACTTTCATGTTAATTATGATGATAGACTTTAAATTTGTGAAAGGTGTGATAATTAATAAGTTAATTGTAATAGATTTGCTTCTCATTGATTGTAATCAAGACAAAATTGGTTGATTACAATTTTGAATTTAATATCATCTGATTAATCAACAATATTCTGATATTATCATTTGAAAACAAATGATTGAGTTGATGAATGAAATGATTTGCTGTTAACAATGAGCTAAATTTTTTTCATCATCATTATCATCAACATCATCATTTACAATTAACTTTAATCATAATGATGACCATTAAAATATATATATTAATAATAAAATACAATTGATAACTATTAATAGTATCCTCATTATGATAATATTGACTCACCAATTGTTACCTTATTCATTCATCAATTTAATTGTGAATGATAAAGTTTATTGATTAATAACAGTTAGTTAAGTAGCATGATGATTATCATGATGACAGGTTAATTGGTTACCTGGTGACATAAGACATTCAACTTGATATTATTATTATTATCATACATCAATGAGCAAGAAGTAAAAGTTCAATGAAAAGATAACAAATTGGATAATATTAGATCATAAAATTCTGAATCATGATTAGCGAAACAGAATGCGAATCAAGAAAAACAGAGTTTCGATTCGAGGATAATAATTCGTAAACATGAAGATAATTCCCTTGGTAATTTGATCTGAAAGATAAAATGGAAACCAAATTCTGAGTCTCTCCTGTGGATATATCATATTATTCACGATCAAACTTGAGAGATGAGGAAGAGAAAAAAAAAGTTCGAAAGGTTGAGAAGAAAAAATAAGAATTCGATTCGTTTGAAATCTTCTGAATGATTATTATATATACATGATGATGCGAAACTTTAAAGATGAGGTCAGAAAAATATGACAGTTTGACAGTTGAACATGTAAAGTAGTTGATTCCATCAAGATGATTCTGAAACTCAGAATTACTCAATTTCCGTTTTTTCTTCATCATTTCAGTTTTTTTCTCACAACAATATTTATTATCTTATCATCTTCATCATCATCATCAACACCCTCAAGACATTTATATGCATGTAATCATTTGGGTCTTTTTATTATTTCTCTTGTTTTCTCAATCTTATTTTGCTCTCTCTCAACTTTTCAGAATCGGAACATTATTTTGATTCATTTTTTATTCTGTTTACTTTTTATTTCATGATAAATATAAAATGGATTATGAAAATAAACTGTTGGATAACATTATCTCTTCATATTAATATGTTGGGTGAAAAACTCATATGAGAATCGAGGGGAAAAAAGAAACAGGAAGTAAGAATTTCATTTCCAGGATAACAAAGGTAATTTATCTAAGACTTGAATTGATTATTGGTGATCATCATCATCATTAATATCAAGAGATTATCATAATAATAATAATATAAATCTGCTTTGGGATCATCTTTGACTATCAATTGTTTACCTTAATTATCATTGAACACATTAGGTGAATTATGGGAAATCTTTTATCAGTAGGAAGAGGAAGTGATCAGAGGAAAGTTGAGATTCTCTTGGAATAATCAATGATAATTAATCTAATAAAAACAAAAACGATTCCAAAATTATGCTACCCGATATTCAACCAAAACTAACGGTAAAATGTGTATCTAGATATTCAACTGTTGATACGATTAAACAAATGGACATTGAATCAATTGAAGAAATTGATAATTGAGGTGAGTTTAAATTTAGAAGTAAGAAAAAAGTTTCATCATGATGATGGTTAATTGGGAGGAAGGTGATTTATGATTCGTTCATGATGATTATGCTTCTGATAAAAGAGAGAGATAAAGATGATGATGATGATGATGGACACTACATCATGGTGAGCTCAGGTGAATTCATTCAAATCAAATTCTAAATCATAACAGTAACACTACTCAGGTGGACACATGAAACGATTTCCCGAAAACATGAAAACACGTTCGCCAGTTTAATCGCTTCTTGTAATCATCTTCGACGATCATTAATATTATCATACTTTTCGTCTTGTCTTTTTTTCTTTCTTTGCTAAGGCGTTAACATCTTTTTCTTTCTCTCTCTCATCATCATATTTATCTTCATCTTCATCTTTTCTTCCTTTGGGTTTGTGGGACAAGTAAAGAAGGTTTTAAAGATGGAGAGCAAAAAAAAAAGAAAAAGTTGTGATGTCAAATGTATACAAATAATTCTGATTCTGAATTCGGATGCATGATGATGATGATGATGATCGCATCATCATGATGAAAGATGGTAGCGATGATGAAGATGCGAAAATTGAGAACAGAAAAAGAACAAGTAAAAAAATTGGAAGAAAATAAGTTAACTTTTTTTTTCGAAAACATTAATTTCTAATGATGATTAAAATAATGACGAAATAATCAAGTAAAGATCCTTAATTTAATTGCGATGATTAACATTCAATTTGAATGATCGTTTGTTGAGATTAAATTGTTTTCCATCATAACAAATATAACATTGAACGAGAAAAGTAATATTTCAATTAACTTAAATTGGAAACAAAAAACTTAATTTTAATTATAACCTTTTCATTTACAATTAACTTGATTTCAACTGATTGGGCTAATCAATTAGCTAAATATTTAATTGATTGTTGCAGGTTTTCACAGTTAAGGGTTGATAAATTAACTTTAACTTACCTTGAATTAATTGAGAGGTTTAAATTGTTGAATCTTTTGCAATGATGACAATTTTTTTGATTATTGCAATTAAATTGATAAGATTTAAATTTGATGATTTAAATTGTCTAATTTTTTAGGTTGTTGTTGATTGAAACACTTAATTAAAGTGTTGTAATTGTAAACACACACAAAGACAAGAAAATTTAATTAAATCCAGGTAATGTTAAGGTAACGATAATTGTAATCATTATTGGTTTTAAATTGATCAGATTTAATCACAATTAAAATGACACAAAAATTGTTGAGTGATTAACATGATTAACACAATTTAATATCCAACTTTGTAAATGGCAAAATCCAAACAATAATCACAATTGATAATTATAATTATCCTTTTTTGTATGTTGATTGTTTAAAGGTTTTAATTGGTATCCTAATGATTGAGATTTAATTACAACAATTAACTTTGAATCGATGTTACCAAGTAGCGATGTCAATGATGGTAAACAATTATTTTGGTCAAGACTTAATGGTCAAGATGTCAGGTGAAAATTGTCCTTTGATTGTCCTTTACACTTTGGTAAACAAGGAAACTGAATTAAGTTTGTTAATGTATATGAATGAAAACACAACCAATTGTAATTACAATTAGAACATAGATTTAGACTTGATGATGATTTATATCGACTGATTAATTATAGTTGATTTTTACTATCGACCACTAACTGATTGATGAATTACCGAATTCAGGTGAACATTGAATCCGGTGAAAAAAAGGTTTGTTGTTGTTTTTGATTTCTAATGTTTATGATACACTTTTGGTTATCATTGAAGCTTTTCCAGAACAAGTTGAAAGGAAAGAAAGAGGATGAATAGAGAGTTGAAGCAGAATTTCATCTGGATAAAATTGAGAGTTTCAATTGTATGAGAAAGAAGAAGATGAAAAAGTAGGAGGAGGATGAAGATGAAGACGAGAGAGCGAGAGAGCGAGAGAGTAGAACAGGGGAAATGTTTCAAGTATAAGGAAAAGTAAGACAAAAATCCTGAACTGGTTCTGATAAGCTGAACATTTCGAATCGGAATAATTTATCGTTTTGAGAGAAGTTTATGCTTCCCTCTGATGGATTAGAATTGTAACTTATTCTAACGAATCAAAGTGGCGCGAATTGGTAGTTTCTTCTAACGGAAGATTAAAGAGTAGAGTAGATGAAATAATCAACGAAATGACCTAAATTGATGAATATTAATTCGATGATCGAATCAATTTGTTATGAATTTGATTTCATGCAGCATTGTTTTTACGAATCTGCCAACTGTCTTCCAGTTCTAATTGACGAATAAAAACTGAGACAAACTTTAATAATTGTCTGTCATGTTTCGAGGTGAAAGAAGAAAGTTCAGTTTGTGTCCAATTTTCTGTACGAATTGATCATTGCAAAAACTCATGATGTGAATATTTCGAGCAACTTATATTCTTCATGAAGGTAAGTAAGTAACGTTCAAGATATGTCCGTAAGCTCAACTTTTCTGACTTAGCTGACTTTTTTCGGCTTACAATTCGAGGCTTTTTAGGAAAATGGTTTAATTTAATTGATTAAACAATTAATTCAACAATCTAAGATCGAGATTAAGTTTAAATTTAATTTCTATTGATTTTTCAGTCTCTCCAAGATGGTTCCTGGTCGTTTCGCTGAAGTTAAGCAAAGTTAAATATCTTCAATTGATGGATAGTAAGTAAACTCCCACCTGATTGATTCTTGATTCTGACTGACTCTTAATTTGATTGTTTCTAATTTCAGGATACAAAAGAGCTCAGGACTACATTGAGCATAACAAACTTTGGAAAAACACTACAGAAACTTTGAAAAGTCACAATTTAAGTGATTTATTTCCGAATCTGAAGGTAATTGATAATTTGCGTTTTTCCACCAGAAAAATACTTAGTTTCTATCGATTGCATTTTTTTATATAGATTGTGGAAGTTCCGTTGCATTTTTTTGTTTCTCTTGAATCATATACTTTTAGAAGGTTGATAAACGAACATCCAAAAATCAAAGGATTGATTGGACTTTATGAACCTGTTGAGAACAAGTATAACTTGGAAAATATCGAAATGATTTCATCAGATTTCAAATTCGAATTCAAAAAAGTCTTTCGACCAAGTCAGTTGAAACAAATTTGCTTCAAAGGAATATTGCTCTTACTTCATTTGTTGGAATGTAAGACAATTTCTGATTGAACGATTTATGATTTTAATTATTATTTTTTTAATTATGAGATGAACAAGTTGATTATATCGATAAGAGTCGTTTGTGGATAAACTATGATACGACCTTAAGTGATTACAATTTGATGAATTTTTTTCTGAATCTAAAGGTAATCAATAAATTTTTTAGATTAAAATGATGTTACTAATTATCTTTTAATTCAATGTTAGATTATTGAGGTTTCGCCTTTCGCCTGTCTTAGTCTTCGATCTTATAATTTGACAAAAATGATCAACAATAGTTCAAAATAAAAGGGTTGATTGGACTTTATGAGCCGTTTGGGAAAAGATTTAACTTGGAAAATATCGAATTGGTTTCATCAGATTTTCAGTTCCAATTTAAAAGAATCTTCCGACCTGATCAGTTGAAATAGATTCGCTTTAGACGAATACGCTTGTCAAGACTTTCTCAAATTATCGAATACTTTTGAAGCGAATCAGCTTGACACTTCGTAATGGTACGTTCACATCGAATTAATGTTTGAAATGTTCTAATCTCTTTTTTTGTAAAGACACACAAACAAATTACGATGGTCCAAATTTGGTTGGTTTGAAGATACTCGAATTAAAACTAAAGTTTCCTGACTCGTTTGGGTTTCATCTTATTGATTCTTGTCCATTTCTAGAAAGTTTATTCTTCTATTATAATGGAAGTGATCTTTATGTAGACGAATCGATGAAGAATTTCAATCTGAGAGATTTGGTTATCTATAATGTAAGTCACTGAATGAAAAATTCGCATTCGATTAATTTTTTTCTCTAATTATTTCTATCCAAAGGCTCTTTTTTTACCTGGCCATTAATGCGAAGAGTTTTGTCCAAATTCCTGAAGTTACATCATCTTTCAATTAGAAACAGTAAAGAGATTGGCGATAGTCATGTGAAAATTTTACCAGAAATAAAATTGTTGGACTTCAGAAGATCAAAAGAATAACTTCACAATCAGCTGATTATTTGAACGAATTCTGTCTCAAATCTCGTCGATCCATTGAAATCTATTATGATTGTGAAGAGGAACCAACTGAACGGCCTAAATTAGGAATACCCAGAGACCAATTGCTTATTCGATTTCATGAAGCATTGTTTTATAAAATTTTCCTCCTTCCGTATCTGATTGATGAATGAAAATCTCACAATCCTTGAAATCTTGCGAGAACTTTTCAGCCGATGTGACCAAGTGAAACAAGAACAACGGATAAATTTTCGTTAATACTTAGTATTCATACTATATCGGCTCAAGCTGATGACTCAGTCACTTCAACAATCGACTGACTTTAATCAATCAAAATACCACCCAAATCATGATGTTGATTATTTACTACAGTAATATTCCCACTTGAGTTGTATTTTTTACTTTTTTACATACATTATACATATTTAAATCTACTTGGCAATTAAAATCATCGCAAATTACTCAAATTATTTTCTTTATTTCATCATACGAACTGATAGAGTTACTATTATTGTTTGGCGCATTTGAGCATTTGAAACACAACGTCACTAAAAATGATGAGGGGGAAAAGGAAGTGAAAATAATGCTACCATGAAATTCAATAGATTCATGGAGGAAAAATTTTAACATTTTTCTTCTTTTCAATTCATTCTTAAGATAAATAATTCTTTTAGATATTAATGATAATAGAATACAATGAGTGTCAGTGTCACCATCGTAATAGAAGATCATTCAAACATCATCTTTTCGAATGAGTCTTGAACTTTACAGGAATCGAAACTCTTCCCACCTTTAGAATAAATTGATTTCAAGTGAATTATATAAATTAAAAATCTACCAAACGAGTGTCTTTATATGATTTTGGACCATTTCAATGGATTAGAAGAAAATTTGTGAAAGGAACCAAATGAATGGTCTAAATTGGACACTACTCAGTAATTAATTAACTACGGTTTCGATTTCATAAAACATTGTTTTTATAAAACCTAAATTACTCCCGGATTTGCTCGATGAAGATAAATAAATTTCTAATTAAGCTGAAAGTTAATTAATCCAACATAATAACAATTGAAATTGAAAAATTGAGAGTTTCAATTATGTCAATTAACAAACTACCAAACGAGTGTCTCTATATGATATTGGATCATTTCGATGGATTCGAAGAGTTGATCCGGTTATCCAAAGGTAACAGCGAGATTAAGTTCAAATTTGAAATTTCTAAAATTCAATTTCTATTGATTTTTCAGTCTCTTCAAGATGGTTAAATCAATTATTTTAATAGACCAGATTTTACTCAATTCCTAAACTTTTGTCTTGAACTGTAGTAATTTTCAATTGTACTGATTATTATATTTACTTTGGTCAATAATTAAGATCAGTAACCCGTTCTACTGATATAGCTACATATTATTGTTTGGTGGCAACAAAAGCACATGAAAACGTCGAAATGACGAGGGAAAAACGCTCAAACGTTGTTTCATTTAAAAAAAGCGCATATTCTTAGTAATTAATCAGCTGTTTGCCGAGTGAATTTAATTTCAAATTAGTGCTCACAATAGTGGAACATCCTATTCGACCAGAAATCTCTGGTTAAAAAGTCTTTGGGCCTAAATAATTATCATTTCAGAAAGTTCTGTTTTTTCTCCGGTGAAAACATCTCATGTGGTAACAGTTCTTGTGGATTTCGATCTTGAAATTTGCCTTTAACTGAATTAACATCGGACTCAATTCATTAAGATTTGATCCCATTTCTGGCTTTTTAGACTTAAACATTTCTACACGTTTTTGAATTATTAATTAGTGGAATCATAATTATGTCTTTTACCGATTTACCAGATAATTGTCTTTGGAAGATTTTCGAAAATGTCAATGGGGTCATAGATTTGATTCAATTTTCTAAAGGTAAGGTTGAGATTCCGTTTAGATGATGAAATTAAAACTTATTTACTTTTCCTTGATTCTTAAGTTTGTTCGAGATGGTCCGATTTAATTAGGCTAAGATTTAATCGAGTAAAATATTGTAGTAAGATAATTTCTAATCGATGGGTTAATTATTTTATTAATACTTGTTTCCATTTTTTTTAGTCGAAAATAAAGTTGATTATATTGATGAAAACAGTTTGTGGATTAATCATAATACGAATTGGAATGATTACAATTTATTTGAATTGTTTCCAAATCTTAAGGTATTTAGTGAATTTTATCAAATCAAAATTATGTGGCTTTCTAATTGTTTTTTAATTCGATGTTAGATTATAGATATTGCGGTTTTATTGGAAACTGCATCTTTGTTAGATATTGTCAGAAATAATCCACGAATAAAGGGATTAATCGCAGTTTGGGATTATATCGATGACGATTATATCTTAACAAATATCGAAATGATCGCTGCAGCTTGTGAGTTCGATTATGAAGCAGTTTTTTACAATGGACCAAATTTGTCTTCGTTAAAGATTCTTGAACTTGGTACAAGCTATTTTGTTGAACAATTCACCGGATTTCATTTCATGGATTTTTGTCCCTCTTTGGAAAGCGCTTTCTTCCAGTGTTGGGCAGAGGATATTTATGTAAATGAATCGATAAAGAATTACAATCTAAGAGATTTGGTTATTGATAATGTAAGTCAATCATCGAGTGATAAATGTTTCTAACATTTTATTTGATTTCTTTTTCTTTAGATTCATTCTGGTAGTTTTTTGTGGCCACTACTTAAAAAACTGGTGTCTAAATTTCCTAACTTGCATCATCTAGCAATCAGAAATTTTGATAAGCTCGATGATAGTAAATTTCATTTAGATGAATTGATAAAATTATTACCAAAGTTGAAGTTATTGGACTTGAGAAGATTTGAGAAAGTGACGCATAAATCAGCTGATTTTCTGTCCAAATATTGTGTCAAAAAGAATCGATCAATCGTAATTTATTACGATTGTGAAAACGAACCCGCCGAATGGCCTAAATTGGTAAATACTCGTGAAACAATTTGCTATGGATTCGATTTCATGAAACATTGTTTCTACAAAAAATTCAGTTCTCTTCCAAATCTCATTGATGAATGAAATGACTGATTTGAAGCAATCGCAATTAAATTGATTGGATACAGTTGATAAGATTTATTTATCTATTTTCGATTTTATGATATAAATTGATCAGATTTAATCACAATTTAAATGACACAAAAATTGTTGATTGGTTAGCACAATACAATATCCAACTTTGTAAATGGCAAAATCCAAACAATAATTAAAGCACAATTGAAAATGATAAATTATCAATCGTAAAGACAAATAACAAGATTCTAATCACTATCAACAAAATAATCATTAGAATTACACGTAAATTGATGGTTAAACTCTAGACAATTATAGTTGATTAATAAAATATACGATTGAGCATCTATCATGTTTCGAGGTGAAAGACGAAAGTTCATTTTTAATCTCAATATTTTCTGTACGAATAGATCGCTTTGCTTAATTCGAGCTTCGGGTAATGCGAGCAACTTATATTCTTCTTGAAGGTAAATCTATTGGTTATAAACATTCTGCTCTAATCTAATTAGATCCAATATTCGATTTCTGTTCATTCGAAAAAAGCGCTTTAATAATCTCTCAATAATTAATCAGCTGTTCTTCACGAGGGAAACTAATTTTGCTGATTAATCATTAATGTTATTCAATGAAAAGTTATCGGCATTTCTTAAGTTTACAGATCAATCATAAGTGAATTGTGATTTTAATTATGTCACTAAACGATTTACCTGATAATTGTCTTTGGAAGATCTTCGAAAATGTCCATAAGGCCGTAGATTTGATTCAATTGTCTAAAGGTAAGATTGAGATTCAGTTAAGATGATAAAATTTTAAATTTTAACTTATTTACTTTCCATCGACTCCTAAGTTTGTTCAAGATGGTCCGATCTAATTAGGTGAGATTTAATCGAGTAAAATATCTTCATTTGTTCGAATGTAAGACAATTTCTAATTGATTGATTTATCATTTGATTAACACTTGTTTTCAATTTTTTATTAAAAGTTAGTAATTCGGTTGATTATATCGATGCGAAAAGTTTGTGAATGAATGAGGATACGAAGTGGAATTATTACAATTTATTCCAATTGTTTCCGAACATTAAGGTAATTAATGAATTTTTTTAAATCAAATTTATGTTGTTTTCTAATTGTTTTTTAATTTGACATCAGATTATAGATACTGTGGTCTTTGATTATCATGGATCTTTCAATTTACCAGAAATTGTCAAAAATAATCCACAAATAAAGGGATTGATTGGTAATTTTGATTTCAAAAACAACGTTTATGACTTTGCAAATATCGAAATGTTCGCTTCAGATATTATTATTAATAATTTCGATTATAAAAAAGTTTTTCGACCTGATCAGTTGAAACAAGTTCACGGCCTCTATATTGATATGGTGATCTTCCTTCATTCATTAAATATTTTCCAAATTTGAAGCGACTCACTTAGAACTCTGTGCAGGTGAGATTCAACTTCAATTAATCTGTCGATTGTTTCAGATGATTAATATCGTTTTACGATCTATTATAGCGGACGGGTTTTTACAATGGACCGAATTTGTCCGCGTTAAAGATTCTTGAACTTGGTACATCCGATTTTATTGAAAAGGAATTCACGGATTTCATTTCATGGATTTTGTACATCTTTGGAAAGCGCTTTCATACACTTACTTCTGGGCAAAGGATATTTATGTAAATGAATCGATAAAAATTACAATCTAAGAGATTTGGTTATCGATAATGTAAGTCAATCATCGAGTGATAAATGTTTCTAACATTTTATTTGATTTCTTTTTCTTTAGATGTCTTCTGGTAGTTTTTCGTGGCTGCCTCTTAAAAAACTGGTGTCTAAATTTCCTAATTTACATCATCTAGCGATCAGATGTTTTGATAAGCTTGATGTTAGTAATTTTGATTTAGAAGAATTGATGAAATTATTACCAAAGTTGAAGTTATTGGATTTCCGGAAATTTAATATATTCGGCAAATCGGCTGATTATCTGTCCAAATATTATGTCAAAGAGAATCGATCAGTTGTAATTTATTACAGTTGCAACAATGAACCCGCCGAATGGCCTGAATCGGTGGAGACTCGCGAACCAATTTGCCATGGATTCGATTTCATGAAACATTGTTTTTATAAAACTTGGGACTCACTTCCAGTTTTGATTGATGAAGATAAATAAAATTTCTAATTAAATTGATGGTCAATTCATCAGCAAAAATATTAATTGAAATAACAAGTTTCCAAAGACAAAATACAAATTCGAATCGATTGTTAAAATTCTAGACAATTATACGAAGTTCATTTTTTATCGCAAGTTTTATGGACGAATAGATCGCTTTGCTTAATTATTTTTTGTTAATTCGAGCAGCTTATATTCTGCTTGAAGGTAAATCTATTGGTTATAAAAATTCTGCTCTAATCTAATTAAGATCCGATACTCGATTTCTATTCATTTGAAAAAAGCGCTTTGTCTCAATAATTAATCAGCTGTTCTTCACGAGGGAAACTAATCTTGCTGATTGATCATTTATGTTATTCAATTTAAGTTATAGGCATTTCCTTAAGTCCACAGATCAATTATAAGTGAATTTTGATTTTTTAATTATGTCATTAAACGATTTACCTGATATTTGTCTTTGGAAGATCTTTGAAAATATCGATGAGGCCAAAGATTTGATTCGATTGTCTAAAGGTAAGATTATTAGTTTCGTTTAGATGATGAAATTTTAAAACTTGTTTACTTTCCCTTCGTCCTATAGTTTGTTCGAGATGGTCCGATTTAATTAAGCCGAGATTTAATCGAGTAAAATATCTTCATTTGATGGATGGTAAGTTAATTTCTAATTGATTGATTTTATGATTTTATTAACACTTGTTTCCAATTTTATTTTAAATAGATGCGGTTGATTATATTGATGCGAACAGTTTGTGGATTAATCCTAAAACGAATTGGAATTATTACAATTTATTCAAATTGTTTCCAAATATTAAGGTAATTAATGAATTTTTTTTAAATCAAATTTATGTTTCTTTCTAATTGTTTTTAATTCGACGTTAGATTATAGATTCTTCGGCCTTTGATTATCATTCATCCTTCGATTTACCAGAAATTGTCAAAATAATCCACAAATAAAGGATTAATTGGATATTTGGATCTCCTCGGAAGCATTTATGACTTGTCAAATATCGAAATACTCGCTTCAGAGTTTTATTTCAATGTTAAAAGCGTTTTTCGACCTGATCAACTGAAACAAGTTTTCGGCCGCTTTTTTAATATGGAAGATCTTCCTTCATTCATTGGCTATTTTCCGAATTTGAAGCGACTCCACTTGCGACTCTGTAAAGGTGTGATACAACTTGAATTGATCTTTCGATTGTTTCTTATGATTAATATCTTTTTACGATTTATAATAGCGGACAAAGTTTTTTACAATGGTCCGAATTCGTCTTCGTTAAAGATTCTTGAACTTAGTACAACAGATTTTGTTGGAAAATTCATAGGACTTCATTTCATGGATTTTTGTCCCTCTTTGGAAAGCGCTTTCATTGGTTGCCGGGCAAAGAATATTTATGTAAATGAATCGATAAAGAATTACAATCTAAGAGATTTGGTTATCGAAAATGTCGAATGGGTAAGTTAATCATCGAGTGATAAATGTTTCAAGATTATCATTTATTTCTTTTCTTTAGATTCGTTCTGGTAGTTTTTCGTGGCCACTACTTAAAAAACTGGTGTCTAAATTTCCTAATTTACATCATCTAGCAATCAGACACTTTGTTAAGCTTAATGTTAGTAATTTTGATTTAGAAAAATTGATGAAACTATTACCAAAGTTGAAAATATTGGACTTGAGAGGATGTAAAGTGACACAAATCAGCTGATTTTCTGTCCAAATATTGTGTCAAAGAGAACCGATCATTTGTAATATATTACGATTGTGAAAACGAACCCACGAATGGCCTAAATTGGTGGATACTCGCAAACGAATTTGCTATGGATTTGATTTCATGAAACATTTTTCTACAAAATACATGTTTCTTCAGATCTCGTTGATGAATAAAATCAATTGACTTGAATGAATCAAAAAGCCCAAATAAGTTTGATTATTCACTAAGTTTTGTTAAGTAGGGTAATTACAATAAATTGGTAAATCACAAATTAATTATTATTTTCTGCGTTTCCTTTCTTATCAATTGGTACTTTTTTATTGTTTTTGATGACAACAAAAGCATATGACACATGAAAACGTTGAAAATAACGAGAGAAAAACGCGTTAAACACTCATTTTGTTTCATCCAAAAAACGCTTGCTCTTAGTAATTAATCAGCTGTTTTCGAGTGACTTCACTCATTTATGAACGAAATTACTGGAAAGAGCCTAATAGGCTCAGCCCATTATATTCTGATCAGATCCCAAATATCCACTAGTAGTAATAATGGCACCAACCTTCTTCCGTTTCTATTAATAAACAGAACGAAACAAAAATTACTAATGAATCTCGGAAAACAATGAAAAGATAAACTTGGGACGAAGAAAAAGTTTTAAAGAATAAACAACAATCAATGCCAATTCTTGTGAAAACATCAAAACTCACCTGAGGGAAAAAGATGCAATTACTTTTAATTTGTGTACTTTTTCGACGTAACGTTTAATATCATCTACAGAGCATTGTAAAGATCGATTGCTGTTATCATAACTTTTTATTATCACAAGTTTGAGCCATTTCTACTCAATGAAATAATATGATTTCTATTCATTTGAAAAAGCTTTGTCTCAATAATTAATCAGCTGTTCTTCACGAGGAAACTAATTTAAAATTTGAAATTTTGCTGATTAATCATTTATGACATAAATTTTATGTTATTCAATTTCAATGATAAAATCTCCGCATTTTTCAAGTTTAATTCATTGAATTATAAGTGCATTGTGATTTAAATAATGTCACTAAACGATTTACCTGATAATTGTCTTTGGAAGATCTTTGAAAATATCGATGAGGCCAAAGATTTGATTCGATTGTCTAAAGGTAAGATTGAGATTCCTTTTAAATGATGAAATTCTAATGCGTATTTACTTTTCCTTGATTCTAAAGTTTGTTCGAGATGGTCCGGTTTAATTGGTGAGATTTAATCAGTAAAATATCTTCATTTGATGGATGGTAAGTTAATTTCTTATTGATCGATTTATTAACACTTATTTCCAATTTTTTTATTAATAGATGATGATGCGGTTGATTATATCGATGCGAAAAGTTTGTGGATTAATTCTGATACGAATTGGAATTATTGCAATTTATTCAAATTGTTTCCTAACCTTAAGGTAATAAATGAATTTTTTTAAATCAAATTTATGTTTCTTTCTAATTGTTTTTTAATTCCACGTTAGATTATATATTCTGCGGCCTTTGATTATCATTCAGCTTTAAATTTGTCAGAAATTGTCAAAATAATCCAAAAAAAGGATTTATTGGATATTGGATTTCCAAAGAAACAGTTATGACTTGTCAAATATCGAAATGATCTCTACACAGTCTCTTGACTTGAATTATAAGCAAGCTTTTCGACCTGATCAGTTGAAACAAGTTTGCTGCCACGATTTTGATATGAATAATCTTCATTCATTCATTGGATATTTTCCAAATTTGAAACGACTCCACTTGCGACTCTATAAAGGTGAGATTCAACTTGAGTTAATCTTTCGATTGTTTCAAATGTTTAATATTTTTTTGCGATCTTTTATAGCGGACGGCGTTTTTTACAATGGACCAAATCTGTCTTGGTTAAAGATTCTTGAACTTCATACAAGCATTTTAGTTGACCAATTCACCGGATTCCATTTCACAGATTTTTGTCCATCCTTGGAAAGCGCTTTCTTCAATTTTCGGGCGAGAGATTTTTATGTAGATGAATCGATAAAGAATTACAATTTGAGAGATTTGGTTATCGAAGATGTAAGTCAATCATCGAGTGTTAAATGTTTTTAAGATTTTTGTTGATCTTTTTCTTTTATTCTTTCGATTCAGTCTGGTTTTCGTTTTGTGGTTCTGATTGATAATGTAAGTCAATTATTTAGTGATAAATGTCTATAAGATTTTATTTTATTTCTTTTCTTTAGATTCGTTCTGTTAGTTTTCGTATACTATTTAAAAACTGTTGTCTAAATTTCCTAATTTACAACATTTAGCAATTAGATATATTGATGAGCTTGATGATAATAATGCAGAAGATTTGATAAAATTATTACCAAAGTTGAAGATATTGGACTTGAGAGGATGTGAGAATGTGACACACAAATCATCTGATTTTCTGTCCAAATATTGTGTCAAAGAGAACCGATCAATTGTAATATATTACGATTGTCAAAATGAACCCACCGAATGGCCTAAATTGGTGGAGACTGACGAACCAATTTGTTATGGATTCGATTTCATGAAACATTGTTTCTACAAAATATTTAGTTCTCTTCCAGATCTCATTGATGAATAAATCTACCGATTTGAATCAATCGCAAGGACAAATATATCATAAGGTTCACTACATTAATACTTTGATTATCGCAATTAAATTGATTGGAAACAATTGATAAGATTTATTTATTTATTTTTTGATTTGATGTTTCAAATTGATCAGGTTAAATCACAATTAAAATGACACAATAATTGTTGATTATTTATCACAATTTAATATCCAATAACAATTGAAATTGAAAAATTGAGAGTTTCAATTATGTCAATTAACAAGCTACCAAACGAGTGTCTCTATATGATATTGGATCATTTCAATGGATTCGAAGAGTTGATCCGATTATCCAAAGGTTACATCAAGGTTATGTTTAAATTTGAAATTTCTAAAATTCAATTTCTATTGATTTTTCAGTCTCTCCAAGATGGTTAAATCAAGTATTTTAATAGACCAGATTTTACTCAATTCCTAAACTTTTGTCTTGCACTGTAGTAATTTTCAATTGTACTGATTATTATATTTCCTGTGGTCAATAATTAAGATCAGTAACCCGTTCTACTGATATAGCTACATATTATTGTTTGGTGGCAACAAAAGCACATGAAAACGTCGAAATGACGAGGGAAAAACGCTCAAACGTTGTTTCATTTAAAAAAAGCGCATATTCTTAGTAATTAATCAGCTGTTTGCCGAGTGAATTTAATTTCAAATTAGTGCTCACAATAGTGGAACATCCTATTCGACCAGAAATCTCTGGTTAAAAAGTCTTTGGGCCTAAATAATTATCATTTCAGAAAGTTCTGTTTTTTCTCCGGTGAAAACATCTCATGTGGTAACAGTTCTTGTGGATTTCGATCTTGAAATTTGCTTTTAACTGAATTAACATCGGACTCAATTCATTAAGATTTGATCCCATTTCTGGCTTTTTAGACTTAAACATTTCTACACGTTTTTGAATTATTAATTAGTGGAATCATAATTATGTCTTTTACCGATTTACCAGATAATTGTCTTTGGAAGATTTTCGAAAATGTCAATGGGACAATAGATTTGATTCAATTTTCTAAAGGTAAGGTTGAGATTCCGTTTAGATGATGAAATTTTAAAACTTATTTACTTTCCCTTGATTCTTAAGTTTGTTCGAGATGGTCCGATTTAATTAGGCTAAGATTTAATCGAGTAAAATATTGTAGTAAGATAATTTCTAATCGATGGGTTAATTATTTTATTAATACTTGTTTCCATTTTTTTTAGTCGAAAATAAAGTTGATTATATTGATGAAAACAGTTTGTGGATTAATCATAATACGAATTGGAATGATTACAATTTATTTGAATTGTTTCCGAATATTAAGGTAATTAATGAATTTTATGAATAAAAACTATTTTACTTTCTAATTGTTTTTAATTTGACGTTAGATTATAGATACTGCGACCTATGGTTACAATTCATCTTTAAATTTACCAGAAATTGTCAAAAATAATCCTCAAATAAAGGGATTTATTGGACATTTTGATTTCAAAGAAAACCGTTATGACTTATCAAATATCGAAATGTTCGCTTCAGAGTTTAATTTCGATTATAAAAAAGTTTTTCGACCTGATCAGTTGAAACAAGTTTGCTGCTACTTTTTTGATATGTATGAACTTCCTTCATTCATTGAATATTTTCAGAATTTGAAGCGACTCCACTTAGAACTCTGTGCAGGTGAGATTAAACTTCAATTAATCTTTTGATTGTTTCATATGATTAATATCTTTTTACGATTTTTATTATAGCGGACGGTGTTTTTTACAATGGACCGACTTTGTCTTTGTTAAAGATTCTTGAACTTGGGACATACGATTTTGTTGAACAATTCACCGGATTTCATTTCATGGATTTTTGTCCATCTTTGGAAAGCGCTTTCTTCACTTGTTGGGCAAAGGATCTTTATGTAGATGTATCTATAAAGAATTACAATCTGAGAGATTTGGTGATTGAAGATGTAAGTCAATCATTGAGTGATGAATGTTCATAAGATTATCGCTAACTTTTTTTCTTTAGTTTCAAGTTAGTCTTTCGTGGCCTCTACTTAAAAAACTGTTGTCTAAATTTCCCAACTTACATCATCTAGCGATCAGAAATTTTGCTGAGCTTGATGTTAACAATTTTGATTTAGAAGAATTGATAAAATTATTAACGAAGTTGAAGATATTGGACTTGAGAGGATGTAAGAGAGTGACGCATCAATCAGCTGATTTTCTGTCCAAATATTGTGTCAAAAAGAATCGATCAATCGTAATTTATTACGATTGTGAAAACGAACCTAACGAATGGCCTAAATTGGTGAAAGCAAGCGAGTCAATTTGCTATGGATTCGATTTCATGAAACATTTTTTTTTACAAAAGATTCAGGTCTCTTCCAGATCTCATTGATGAATAAATCTACCGATTTGAATCAATCGCAAGGACAAATATATCATAAGGTTCACTACATTAATACTTTGATTATCGCAATTAAATTGATTGGAAACAATTGGTAAGATTTATTTATTTATTTTTTGATTTGACGATTTAAATTGATCAGGTTTAATCACAATTAAAATGCCAAAATAATTGTTGATTGATTAACACAATTTAATATCCAACCAATAATTAAATACACTGATACATGTACAATTGATAATGACAATTATCCTTTTTGTATGCTGATTGCTTAAAGGTTCTAATTGGTATCTTAATACTGTTTTAATGTGTATGAATGAAAACACAACCAATTATAATGACAATTAGAAAATAGATTTAGACTTGATTATGATTTATATCAACTGACTAATTATGGTTGATTTTTTCCCACTTCTATTAATTCTTTTTACATTAACTAACAAAGATAATAACTCGAAATTATTTATATTCTACAGATTTATATTCTCAATTTTGAATATTCCTCATCTTCCATTAAAATCTTTAAAAATCAACATTAATCATAATCAAGATGAGCGCCATTAAAGTTACCCTTTCCTGTCAACGGAGGCATAAAGCACAAGAAACTATCAGCTGGTTTTTAGAGGGAAACAATTAAATTTAAAATTTTGCTTGTCTCTTTAAATTGAAATTTTCAAGTGAATTATGTCAATTAACAAACTACCAAACGAGTGTCTCTATATGATTTTGGACCATTTCAATGGATTCGAAGAGTTGATCCGATTGTCCAAAGGTAACATCGAGATTAAGTTTAAATTTTAAATTTCCTAAATTTAATTTCTCTTGATTTTCTAGTCTCTCCAAGATGGTTCCTGGTCGTTTCACTGAAGTTAAGCAAAGTTAAATATCTTCAATTGATGGATAGTAAGTAAACTCCCACCTGATTGATTCTTGATTCTGACTGACTCTTAATTTGATTGTTTCTAATTTCAGGATACAAAAGAGCTCAGGACTACATTGAGCATAACAAACTTTGGAAAAACACTACAGAAACTTTGAAAAGTCACAATTTAAGTGATTTATTTCCGAATCTGAAGGTAATTGATAAATTGCGTTTTTCCACCAGAAAAATACTTAGTTTCTAATTCTATCGATTCATTTTTTATATAGATTGTTGAAGTTCCGTTGCATTTTTGTTTCTCTTGAATCGTATACTTTTAGAAGATTGATAAACGAACATCCAAAATCAAAGGATTGATTGGACTTATGAACCTGTTGAGAACAAGTATAACTTGGAAAATATCGAAATGATTTCATCAGATTTCAAATTCGAATTAAAAGTCTTTCGACCAAGTCAGTTGAAACAAATTTGTTTAAAGGAATATTGTCTTACTTCATTTGTTGGAATGTAAGACAATTCTGATTGAACGATTTATGATTTTAATTATTATTTTTAATTATGAGATGAACAAGTTGATTATATCGATAAGAGTCGTTTGTGGATAAACTGATACGACCTTAAGTGATTACAATTTGATGAATTTTTTCTGAATCTAAAGGTAATCAATAAATTTTTAGATTAAAATGATGTTACTAATTATCTTTTAATTCAATGTTAGATTATTGAGGTTTCGCCTTTCGCCTGTCTTAGTCTTCGATCTTATAATTTGACAAAAATGATCAACAATAGTTCAAAAATAAAAGGATTGATTGGACTTTATGAGCCGTTTGGGAAAAGATTTAATTTGAAAATATCGAATTGGTTTCATCAGATTTTCAGTTCCAATTAAAAGAATCTTCCGACCTGATCAGTTGAAATAGATTCGCTTTAGACGAATACGCTTGTCAAGACTTTCTCAAATTATCGAATACTTTTGAAGCGAATCAGCTTGACATCAATGGTAACGTCACATCGAATTAATGTTTGAAATGTTCTAATCTTTTTTTGTAAAGACACAAACAAATTACGATGGTCCAAATTTGGTTGGTTTGAAGATACTGAATTAAAACTAAAGTTTCCTGACTCGTTTGGGTTTCATCTTATTGATTCTTGTCCATTTCTAGAAAGTTTATTCTTCTATTATAATGGAAGTGATCTTTATGTAGACGAATCGATGAAGAATTTCAATCTGAGAGATTTGGTTATCTATAATGTAAGTCACTGAATGAAAATTCGCATTCGATTAATTTTTTCTCTAATTATTTCTATCCAAAGGCTCTTTTTACCTGGCCATTAATGAAGAGTTTTGTCCAAATTCCTGAAGTTACATCATCTTTCAATTAGAAACAGTAAAGAGATTGGCGATAGTCATGTGAAAATTTTACCAGAAATAAAATTGTTGGACTTCAGAAGATCAAAAGAATAACTTCACAATCAGCTGATTATTTGAACGAATTCTGTCTCAAATCTCGTCGATCCATTGAAATCTATTATGATTGTGAAGAGGAACTGAACGGCCTAAATTAGGAATACCCAGAGAACCAATTGCACGGATTCGATTTCATGAAGCATTGTTTTTATAAGAATTTTTCCTCCCTTCCGTATCTGATTGATGAATGAAAATCTCACAATCCTTGAAATCTTATGAGAACTTTTCAGCCGATGACCAAGTGAAACAAGAACAACGGATAAATTTTCGTTAATACTTAGTATTCATACTATATCGGCTCAAGCTGATGACTCAGTCACTTCAACAATCGACTTTAATCAATCAAATACACCCAAATCATGATGTTGATTATTTACTACAGTAATATTCCACTTGAGTTGTATTTTTACTTTTTATACATTATATATTTAAATCTACTTGGCAATTAAAATCATCGCAAATTACTCAAATTATTCTTTATTTCATCATACGAACTGATAGAGTTACTATTATTGTTGGCGCATTTGAGCATTTGAAACACAACGTCACTAAAAATGATGAGGGGGAAAAGGAAGTGAAAATAATGCTACCATGAAATTCAATAGATTCATGGAGGAAAAATTTTAACATTTTTCTTCTTTTCAATTCATTCTTAAGATAAATAATTCTTTTAGATATTAATGATAATAGAATACAATGAGTGTCAGTGTCACCATCGTAATAGAAGATCATTCAAACATCATCTTTTCGAATGAGTCTTGAACTTTACAGGAATCGAAACTCTTCCCACCTTTAGAATAAATTGATTTCAAGATATAAATTAAAATCTACCAAACGAGTGTCTTTATATGATTTTGGACCATTTCAATGGATTAGAAGAAAATTTGTGAAAGGAACCAAATGAATGGTCTAAATTGGACACTACTCAGTAATTAATTAACTACGGTTTCGATTTCATAAAACATTGTTTTTATAAAACCTAAATTACTCCCGGATTTGCTCGATGAAGATAAATAAATTTCTAATTAAGCTGAAAGTTAATTAATCCAACATAATAACAATTGAAATTGAAAAATTGAGAGTTTCAATTATGTCAATTAACAAACTACCAAACGAGTGTCTCTATATGATATTGGATCATTTCGATGGATTCGAAGAGTTGATCCGGTTATCCAAAGGTAACAGCGATTAAGTTCAAATTTGAAATTTAAAATTCAATTTCTATTGATTTTCAGTCTCTTCAAGATGGTTAAATCAATTATTTTAATAGACCAGATTTTACTCAATTCCTAAACTTTTGTCTTGAACTGTAGTAATTTTCAATTGTACTGATTATTATATTTACTTTGGTCAATAATTAAGATCAGTAACCTTCTACTGATATAGCTACATATTATTGTTTGGTGGCAATAAAAGCACATGAAAACGTCGAAATGACGAGGAAAAACGCTCAAACGTTGTTTCATTTAAAAAGCGCATATTCTTAGTAATTAATCAGCTGTTTGCCGAGTGAATTTAATTTCAAATTAGTGCTCACAATAGTGGAACATCCTATTCGACCAGAAATCTCTGGTTAAAAAGTCTTTACCTAAATAATTATCATTTCAGAAAGTTCTGTTTTTCTCCGGTGAAAACATCTCATGTGGTAACAGTTCTTGTGGATTTCGATCTTGAAATTTGCCTTTAACTGAATTAACATCGGACTCAATTCATTAAGATTTGATCCCATTTCTGGCTTTTTAGACTTAAACATTTCTACACGTTTTTGAATTATTAATTAGTGGAATCATAATTATGTCTTTTACCGATTTACCAGATAATTGTCTTTGGAAGATTTTCGAAAATGTCAATGGGGTCATAGATTTGATTCAATTTTCTAAAGGTAAGGTTGAGATTCCGTTTAGATGATGAAATTTTAAAACTTATTTACTTTCCCTTGATTCTTAAGTTTGTTCGAGATGGTCCGATTTAATTAGGCTAAGATTTAATCGAGTAAAATATTGTAGTAAGATAATTTCTAATCGATGGGTTAATTATTTTATTAATACTTGTTTCCATTTTTTTTAGTCGAAAATAAAGTTGATTATATTGATGAAAACAGTTTGTGGATTAATCATAATACGAATTGGAATGATTACAATTTATTTGAATTGTTTCCAAATCTTAAGGTATTTAGTGAATTTTATCAAATCAAAATTATGGCTTTCTAATTGTTTTTAATTCGATGTTAGATTATAGATATTGCGGTTTTATTGAAACTGCATCTTTGTTAGATATTGTCAGAAATAATCCACGAATAAAGGGATTAATCGCAGTTTGGGATTATATCGATGACGATTATATCTTAACAAATATCGAAATGATCTGCAGCCAGAGTTCGATTATGAAGCAGTTTTTACAATGGACCAAATTTGTCTTCGTTAAAGATTCTTGAACTTGGTACAAGCTATTTTGTTGAACAATTCACCGGATTTCATTTCATGGATTTTTGTCCTCTTTGGAAAGCGCTTTCCAGTGTTGGGCAGAGGATATTTATGTAAATGAATCGATAAAGAATTACAATCTAAGAGATTTGGTTATTGATAATGTAAGTCAATCATCGAGTGATAAATGTTTCTAACATTTTATTTGATTTCTTTTTCTTTAGATTCATTCTGGTAGTTTTTTGTGGCCACTACTTAAAAAACTGGTGTCTAAATTTCCTAACTTGCATCATCTAGCAATCAGAAATTTTGATAAGCTCGATGATAGTAAATTTCATTTAGATGAATTGATAAAATTATTACCAAAGTTGAAGTTATTGGACTTGAGAAGATTTGAGAAAGTGACGCACAATCAGCTGATTTTCTGTCCAAATATTGTGTCAAAGAATCGATCAATCGTAATTTATTACGATTGTGAAAACGAACCGGAATGGCCTAAATTGGTAAATACTCGTGAAACAATTTGCTATGGATTCGATTTCATGAAACATTGTTTCTACAAAAAATTCAGTTCTCTTCCAAATCTCATTGATGAATGAAATGACTGATTTGAAGCAATCGCAATTAAATTGATTGGATACAGTTGATAAGATTTATTTATCTATTTTCGATTTTATGATATAAATTGATCAGATTTAATCACAATTTAAATGACACAAAAATTGTTGATTGGTTAGCACAATACAATATCCAACTTTGTAAATGGCAAAATCCAAACAATAATTAAAGCACAATTGAAAATGATAAATTATCAATCGTAAAGACAAATAACAAGATTCTAATCACTATCAACAAAATAATCATTAGAATTACACGTAAATTGATGGTTAAACTCTAGACAATTATAGTTGATTAATAAAATATACGATTGAGCATCTATCATGTTTCGAGGTGAAAGACGAAAGTTCATTTTTAATCTCAATATTTTCTGTACGAATAGATCGCTTTGCTTAATTCGAGCTTGTAATGCGAGCAACTTATATTCTTCTTGAAGGTAAATCTATTGGTTATAAACATTCTGCTCTAATCTAATTAGATCCAATATTCGATTTCTGTTCATTCGAAAAAAGCGCTTTAATAATCTCTCAATAATTAATCAGCTGTTCTTCACGAGGGAAACTAATTTTGCTGATTAATCATTAATGTTATTCAATGAAAAGTTATCGGCATTTCCTTAAGTTTACAGATCAATCATAAGTGAATTGTGATTTTTAATTATGTCACTAAACGATTTACCTGATAATTGTCTTTGGAAGATCTTCGAAAATGTCCATAAGGCCGTAGATTTGATTCAATTGTCTAAAGGTAAGATTGAGATTCAGTTAAGATGATAAAATTTTAAATTTTAACTTATTTACTTTCCATCGACTCCTAAGTTTGTTCAAGATGGTCCGATCTAATTAGGCCGAGATTTAATCGAGTAAAATATCTTCATTTGTTCGAATGTAAGACAATTTCTAATTGATTGATTTATCATTTGATTAACACTTGTTTTCAATTTTTTATTAAAAGTTAGTAATTCGGTTGATTATATCGATGCGAAAAGTTTGTGAATGAATGAGGATACGAAGTGGAATTATTACAATTTATTCCAATTGTTTCCGAACATTAAGGTAATTAATGAATTTTTTTAAATCAAATTTATGTTGTTTTCTAATTGTTTTTTAATTTGACATCAGATTATAGATACTGTGGTCTTTGATTATCATGGATCTTTCAATTTACCAGAAATTGTCAAAAATAATCCACAAATAAAGGGATTGATTGGTAATTTTGATTTCAAAAACAACGTTTATGACTTTGCAAATATCGAAATGTTCGCTTCAGATATTATTATTAATAATTTCGATTATAAAAAAGTTTTTCGACCTGATCAGTTGAAACAAGTTCACGGCCTCTATATTGATATGAGTGATCTTCCTTCATTCATTAAATATTTTCCAAATTTGAAGCGACTCCACTTAGAACTCTGTGCAGGTGAGATTCAACTTCAATTAATCTGTCGATTGTTTCAGATGATTAATATCGTTTTACGATCTATTATAGCGGACGGAGTTTTTTACAATGGACCGAATTTGTCCGCGTTAAAGATTCTTGAACTTGGTACATCCGATTTTATTGAAAAGGAATTCACCGGATTTCATTTCATGGATTTTTGTACATCTTTGGAAAGCGCTTTCATACGCACTTACTTCTGGGCAAAGGATATTTATGTAAATGAATCGATAAAGAATTACAATCTAAGAGATTTGGTTATCGATAATGTAAGTCAATCATCGAGTGATAAATGTTTCTAACATTTTATTTGATTTCTTTTTCTTTAGATGTCTTCTGGTAGTTTTCGTGGCTGCCTCTTAAAAACTGGTGTCTAAATTTCTAATTTACATCATCTAGCGATCAGATGTTTTGATGCTTGATGTTAGTAATTTTGATTTAGAAGAATTGATGAAATTATTACCAAAGTTGAAGTTATTGGATTTCCGGAAATTTAATATATTCGGCAAATCGGCTGATTATCTGTCCAAATATTATGTCAAAGAGAATCGATCAGTTGTAATTTATTACAGTTGCAACAATGAACCCGCCGAATGGCCTGAATCGGTGGAGACTCGCGAACCAATTTGCCATGGATTCGATTTCATGAAACATTGTTTTTATAAAACTTGGGACTCACTTCCAGTTTTGATTGATGAAGATAAATAAAATTTCTAATTAAATTGATGGTCAATTCATCAGCAAAATATTAATTGAAATAAAAGTTTCCAAAGACAAAATACAAATTGAATCGATTGTTAAAATTTAGACAATTATACGAAGTTCATTTTTATCGCAAGTTTTATGGACGAATAGATCGCTTTGCTTAATTATTTTTGTTAATTGAGCAGCTTATATTCTGCTTGAAGGTAAATCTATTGGTTATAAAATTCTGCTCTAATCTAATTAAGATCCGATACTGATTTCTATTCATTTGAAAAAGCGCTTTGTCTCAATAATTAATCAGCTGTTCTTCACGAGGAAACTAATCTTGCTGATTGATCATTTATGTTATTCAATTTAAGTTATAGGCATTTCCTTAAGTCCACAGATCAATTATAAGTGAATTTTGATTTTTTAATTATGTCATTAAACGATTTACCTGATATTTGTCTTTGGAAGATCTTTGAAAATATCGATGAGGCCAAAGATTTGATTCGATTGTCTAAAGGTAAGATTATTAGGATTTCGTTTAGATGATGAAATTTTAAAACTTGTTTACTTTCCCTTCGTCCTATAGTTTGTTCGAGATGGTCCGATTTAATTAAGCCGAGATTTAATCGAGTAAAATATCTTCATTTGATGGATGGTAAGTTAATTTCTAATTGATTGATTTTATGATTTTATTAACACTTGTTTCCAATTTTATTTTAAATAGATGCGGTTGATTATATTGATGCGAACAGTTTGTGGATTAATCCTAAAACGAATTGGAATTATTACAATTTATTCAAATTGTTTCCAAATATTAAGGTAATTAATGAATTTTTTTTAAATCAAATTTATGTTTCTTTCTAATTGTTTTTTAATTCGACGTTAGATTATAGATTCTTCGGCCTTTGATTATCATTCATCCTTCGATTTACCAGAAATTGTCAAAAATAATCCACAAATAAAGGGATTAATTGGATATTTGGATCTCCTCGGAAGCATTTATGACTTGTCAAATATCGAAATACTCGCTTCAGAGTTTTATTTCAATGTTAAAAGCGTTTTTCGACCTGATCAACTGAAACAAGTTTTCGGCCGCTTTTTTAATATGGAAGATCTTCCTTCATTCATTGGCTATTTTCCGAATTTGAAGCGACTCCACTTGCGACTCTGTAAAGGTGTGATACAACTTGAATTGATCTTTCGATTGTTTCTTATGATTAATATCTTTTTACGATTTATAATAGCGGACAAAGTTTTTACAATGGTCCGAATTCGTCTTCAAAGATTCTTGAACTTAGTACAACAGATTTTGTTGGAAAATTCATAGGACTTCATTTCATGGATTTTGTCCTCTTGGAAAGCGTCATTGGTTGCCGGGCAAAGAATATTTATGTAAATGAATCGATAAAGAATTACAATCTAAGAGATTTGGTTATCGAAAATGTCGAATGGGTAAGTTAATCATCGAGTGATAAATGTTTCAAGATTATCATTTATTTCTTTTCTTTAGATTCGTTCTGGTAGTTTTTCGTGGCCACTACTTAAAAAACTGGTGTCTAAATTTCCTAATTTACATCATCTAGCAATCAGACACTTTGTTAAGCTTAATGTTAGTAATTTTGATTTAGAAAAATTGATGAAACTATTACCAAAGTTGAAAATATTGGACTTGAGAGGATGTAAGAAAGTGACACACAAATCGGCTGATTTTCTGTCCAAATATTGTGTCAAAGAGAACCGATCATTTGTAATATATTACGATTGTGAAAACGAACCCACCGAATGGCCTAAATTGGTGGATACTCGCAAACGAATTTGCTATGGATTTGATTTCATGAAACATTTTTTCTACAAAAAATACATGTTTCTTCCAGATCTCGTTGATGAATAAAAATCAATTGACTTGAATGAATCAAAAAGCCCAAATAAGTTTGATTATTCACTAAGTTTTGTTAAGTAGGGTAATTACAATAAATTGGTAAATCACAAATTAATTATTATTTTCTGCGTTTCCTTTCTTATCAATTGGTACTTTTTTATTGTTTTTGATGACAACAAAAGCATATGACACATGAAAACGTTGAAAATAACGAGAGAAAAACGCGTTAAACACTCATTTTGTTTCATCCAAAAAACGCTTGCTCTTAGTAATTAATCAGCTGTTTTTCGAGTGACTTCACTCATTTATGAACGAAATTACTGGAAAGAGCCTAATAGGCTCAGCCCATTATATTCCTGATCAGATCCCAAATATCCACTAGTAGTAATAACATGGCACCAACCTTCTTCCCGTTTCTATTAATAAACAGAACGAAACAAAAAATTACTAATGAATCTCGGAAAACAATGAAAAGATAAACTTGGGACGAAGAAAAAAGTTTTAAAGAATAAACAACAATCAATGCCAATTCTTTTCTGTGGAAAACATCAAAACTCACCTGAGGGAAAAAAGATGCAATTACTTTTAATTTGTGTACTTTTTTCGACGTAACGTTTAATATCATCTACAGAGCATTGTAAAGATCGATTGCTGTTATCATAACTTTTTATTATCACAAGTTTGAGCCATTTCTACTCAATGAAATAATATGATTTCTATTCATTTGAAAAAAGCGCTTTGTCTCAATAATTAATCAGCTGTTCTTCACGAGGGAAACTAATTTAAAATTTGAAATTTTGCTGATTAATCATTTATGACATAAATTTTATGTTATTCAATTTCAATGATAAAATCTCCGCATTTTTCAAGTTTAATTCATTGAATTATAAGTGCATTGTGATTTAAATAATGTCACTAAACGATTTACCTGATAATTGTCTTTGGAAGATCTTTGAAAATATCGATGAGGCCAAAGATTTGATTCGATTGTCTAAAGGTAAGATTGAGATTCCTTTTAAATGATGAAATTCTAATGCGTATTTACTTTTCCTTGATTCTAAAGTTTGTTCGAGATGGTCCGGTTTAATTAGGCCGAGATTTAATCGAGTAAAATATCTTCATTTGATGGATGGTAAGTTAATTTCTTATTGATCGATTTATTAACACTTATTTCCAATTTTTTTATTAATAGATGATGATGCGGTTGATTATATCGATGCGAAAAGTTTGTGGATTAATTCTGATACGAATTGGAATTATTGCAATTTATTCAAATTGTTTCCTAACCTTAAGGTAATAAATGAATTTTTTTAAATCAAATTTATGTTTCTTTCTAATTGTTTTTTAATTCCACGTTAGATTATATATTCTGCGGCCTTTGATTATCATTCAGCTTTAAATTTGTCAGAAATTGTCAAAAATAATCCACAAATAAAGGGATTTATTGGATATTCGGATTTCCAAAGAAACAGTTATGACTTGTCAAATATCGAAATGATCTCTACACAGTCTCTTGACTTGAATTATAAGCAAGCTTTTCGACCTGATCAGTTGAAACAAGTTTGCTGCCACGATTTTGATATGAATAATCTTCATTCATTCATTGGATATTTTCAAAATTTGAAACGACTCCACTTGCGACTCTATAAAGGTGAGATTCAACTTGAGTTAATCTTTCGATTGTTTCAAATGTTTAATATTTTTGCGATCTTTATAGCGGACGGCGTTTTTACAATGGACCAAATCTGTCTTGGTTAAAGATTCTTGAACTTCATACAAGCATTTTAGTTGACCAATTCACGGATTCCATTTCACAGATTTTGTCCATCCTGGAAAGCGCTTTCTTCAATTTTCGGGCGAGAGATTTTATGTAGATGAATCGATAAAGAATTACAATTTGAGAGATTTGGTTATCGAAGATGTAAGTCAATCATCGAGTGTTAAATGTTTTTAAGATTTTTGTTGATCTTTTTCTTTTATTCTTTCGATTCAGTCTGGTTTTCGTTTTGTGGTTCTGATTGATAATGTAAGTCAATTATTTAGTGATAAATGTCTATAAGATTTTATTTTATTTCTTTTTCTTTAGATTCGTTCTGTTAGTTTTTCGTGGCCACTATTTAAAAAACTGTTGTCTAAATTTCCTAATTTACAACATTTAGCAATTAGATATATTGATGAGCTTGATGATAATAATGCAGAAGATTTGATAAAATTATTACCAAAGTTGAAGATATTGGACTTGAGAGGATGTGAGAATGTGACACACAAATCATCTGATTTTCTGTCCAAATATTGTGTCAAAGAGAACCGATCAATTGTAATATATTACGATTGTCAAAATGAACCCACCGAATGGCCTAAATTGGTGGAGACTGACGAACCAATTTGTTATGGATTCGATTTCATGAAACATTGTTTTACAAAATATTTAGTTCTCTTCCAGATCTCATTGATGAATAAATCTACCGATTTGAATCAATCGCAAGGACAAATATATCATAAGGTTCACTACATTAATACTTTGATTATCGCAATTAAATTGATTGGAAACAATTGATAAGATTTATTTATTTATTTTTTGATTTGATGTTTCAAATTGATCAGGTTAAATCACAATTAAAATGACACAATAATTGTTGATTATTTATCACAATTTAATATCCAATAACAATTGAAATTGAAAATTGAGAGTTTCAATTATGTCAATTAGCTACCAAACGAGTGTCTCTATATGATATTGGATCATTTCAATGGATTCGAAGAGTTGATCCGATTATCCAAAGGTTACATCAAGGTTATGTTTAAATTTGAAATTTCTAAAATTCAATTTCTATTGATTTTCAGTCTCCAAGATGGTTAAATCAAGTATTTTAATAGACCAGATTTTACTCAATTCCTAAACTTTTGTCTTGCACTGTAGTAATTTTCAATTGTACTGATTATTATATTTCCTGTGGTCATAATTAAGATCAGTAACCCGTTCTACTGATATAGCTACATATTATTGTTTGTGGCAATAAAAGCACATGAAAACGTCGAAATGACGAGGAAAAACGCTCAAACGTTGTTTCATTTAAAAAGCATATTCTTAGTAATTAATCAGCTGTTTGCCGAGTGAATTTAATTTCAAATTAGTGCTCACAATAGTGGAACATCCTATTCGACCAGAAATCTCAAAAAGTCTTTGGGCCTAAATAATTATCATTTCAGAAAGTTCTGTTTTTCTCCGGTGAAAACATCTCATGGTAACAGTTCTTGTGATTTCGATCTTGAAATTTGCTTTTAACTGAATTAACATCGGACTCAATTCATTAAGATTTGATCCCATTTCTGGCTTTTTAGACTTAAACATTTCTACACGTTTTTGAATTATTAATTAGTGGAATCATAATTATGTCTTTTACCGATTTACCAGATAATTGTCTTTGGAAGATTTTCGAAAATGTCAATGGACAATAGATTTGATTCAATTTTCTAAAGGTTGAGATTCCGTTTAGATGATGAAATTTTAAAACTTATTTACTTCCCTTGATTCTTAAGTTTGTTCGAGATGGTCCGATTTAATTAGGCTAAGATTTAATCGAGTAAAATATTGTAGTAAGATAATTTCTAATCGATGGGTTAATTATTTTATTAATACTTGTTTCCATTTTTTTTAGTCGAAAATAAAGTTGATTATATTGATGAAAACAGTTTGTGGATTAATCATAATACGAATTGGAATGATTACAATTTATTTGAATTGTTTCGAATATTAAGGTAATTAATGAATTTTATGAATAAAAACTATTTTACTTTCTAATTGTTTTTAATTTGACGTTAGATTATAGATACTGCGACCTATGGTTACAATTCATCTTTAAATTTACCAGAAATTGTCAAAAATAATCCTCAAATAAAGGGATTTATTGGACATTTTGATTTCAAAGAAAACCGTTATGACTTATCAAATATCGAAATGTTCGCTTCAGAGTTTAATTTCGATTATAAAAAAGTTTTTCGACCTGATCAGTTGAAACAAGTTTGCTGCTACTTTTTTGATATGTATGAACTTCCTTCATTCATTGAATATTTTCAATTTGAAGCGACTCCACTTAGAACTCTGTGCAGGTGAGATTAAACTTCAATTAATCTTTTGATTGTTTCATATGATTAATATCTTTTTACGATTTTTATTATAGCGGACGGTGTTTTTTACAATGGACCGACTTTGTCTTTGTTAAAGATTCTTGAACTTGGGACATACGATTTTGTTGAACAATTCACCGGATTTCATTTCATGGATTTTTGTCCATCTTTGGAAAGCGCTTTCTTCACTTGTTGGGCAAAGGATCTTTATGTAGATGTATCTATAAAGAATTACAATCTGAGAGATTTGGTGATTGAAGATGTAAGTCAATCATTGAGTGATGAATGTTCATAAGATTATCGCTAACTTTTTTTCTTTAGTTTCAAGTTAGTCTTTCGTGGCCTCTACTTAAAAAACTGTTGTCTAAATTTCAACTTATCATCTAGCGATCAGAAATTTTGCTGAGCTTGATGTTAACAATTTTGATTTAGAAGAATTGATAAAATTATTAACGAAGTTGAAGATATTGGACTTGAGAGGATGTAAGAGAGTGACGCATCAATCAGCTGATTTTCTGTCCAAATATTGTGTCAAAGAATCGATCAATCGTAATTTATTACGATTGTGAAAACGAACCTAACGAATGGCCTAAATTGGTGAAAGCAAGCGAGTCAATTTGCTATGGATTCGATTTCATGAAACATTTTTTTTTACAAAAGATTCAGGTCTCTTCCAGATCTCATTGATGAATAAATCTACCGATTTGAATCAATCGCAAGGACAAATATATCATAAGGTTCTACATTAATACTTTGATTATCGCAATTAAATTGATTGGAAACAATTGGTAAGATTTATTTATTTATTTTTGATTTGACGATTTAAATTGATCAGGTTTAATCACAATTAAAATGCCAAAATAATTGTTGATTGATTAACACAATTTAATATCCAACCAATAATTAAATACACTGATACATGTACAATTGATAATGACAATTATCCTTTTGTATGATTGCTTAAAGGTTCTAATTGGTATCTTAATACTGTTTTAATGTGTATGAATGAACACAACCAATTATAATGACAATTAGAAAATAGATTTAGACTTGATTATGATTTATATCAACTGACTAATTATGGTTGATTTTTCCCACTTCTATTAATTCTTTTACATTAACTAACAAAGATAATAACTCAAATTATTTATATTCTACAGATTTATATTCTCAATTTTGAATATTCCTCATCTTCCATTAAAATCTTTAAAATCAACATTAATCATAATCAAGATGAGCGCCATTAAAGTTACCCTTTCCTGTCAACGGAGGCATAAAGCACAAGAAACTATCAGCTGGTTTTTAGAGGGAAACAATTAAATTTAAAATTTTGCTTGTCTCTTTAAATTGAAATTTTCAAGTGAATTATGTCAATTAACAAACTACCAAACGAGTGTCTCTATATGATTTTGGACCATTTCAATGGATTCGAAGAGTTGATCCGATTGTCCAAAGGTAACATCGAGATTAAGTTTAAATTTTAAATTTCCTAAATTTAATTTCTCTTGATTTTCTAGTCTCTCCAAGATGGTTCCTGGTCGTTTCACTGAAGTTAAGCAGTTAAATATCTTCAATTGATGGATAGTAAGCAACCCCACCTGATTGATTCTTGATTCTGACTGACTCTTAATTTGATTGTTTCTAATTTCAGGATACAAAGAGCTCAGGACTACATTGAGCATAACAAACTTTGGAAAACACTACAGAAACTTTGAAAAGTCACAATTTAAGTGATTTATTTCCGAATCTGAAGGTAATTGATAAATTGCGTTTTTCCACCAGAAAAATACTTAGTTTCTAATTCTATCGATTCATTTTTTATATAGATTGTTGAAGTTCCGTTGCATTTTTGTTTCTCTTGAATCGTATACTTTTAGAAGATTGATAAACGAACATCCAAAATCAAAGGTTGATTGGACTTTATGAACCTGTTGAGAACAAGTATAACTTGGAAAATATCGAAATGATTTCATCAGATTTCAAATTCGAATTCAAAAAAGTCTTTCGACCTGCTCAGTTGAAACAAATTTGCTTCAAAGGAATATTGCTCTTATCTGAATTTTCTCAATATATCGAGTACTTTCCGAATTTGAAACGACTTCACATAAATTCCTTCTATCACGGTATGTTAACATCAACTCAATTTTTAAATGTTCTAATTCTTTCATGTTTTAAATAGACATAAAAAAATATGATGGTCCAAATTTGTCCACTTTAAAGATCCTTGAAATTCCACCTGGTAATCTTGGCACTGGATTTCGTATTATGGATTCTTGTCCGTCTTTAGAAAGCGCATTCATATATTCTGGTTACTTCCAGGCTAATATTATTGACGATTCAATAAAAAATTTCAATCTAAGAGATTTGGTTATCGAACATGTAAGTGGCATTGAAAAATTCTCATTTGATTAACTTTTTCGTTTTGATTCTTTCCACCTCAAGCCTTATACATGTGAGTTTACCTTGGAACTTTTACGGATAATCTGCACAAAATTCCCGAATTTACATCATCTTGGAATCAGAGGCTACGAAGTTGACGATAGTCATGTAGAAGTAATGGTTAAACTATTACCAGAATTAAAACTGATCGACTTGAGGAAATGTAAGAAAGTGACCCAAAGACCAGCTCATTTTCTATCTCAATTCTGTGAAAAATCCGATCGATCGGTTAAAATCTTTTATGATTGTGAGAAGGAACCAACTGAATGGCCTAAATTGGACACTACTCACGAATTAATTGTCTACGGATTCGATTTCATGAAAAATTGTTTCTATAAAACTTGGAACTCACTTCCAGATTTGATTGATGAAGACAAATAAAATTTCTAATTAAATTGATGTCGAATTTATCAGAAAAATACAAATTGTAATAACAAGTTTCCAAAGACAATCAACAAAATAATCATTCGAATTGCATATAAATTGAAGGTTAAAACTCTAGACAATTATAGTTGATTAATAAAATATACGATTGAGCATCTATCATGTTTCGAGGTGAAAGACGAAGTTCATTTTTAATCTCAATATTTTCTGTACGAATTGATTATTGCGAAAACTCATCATGTTAATATTTGAAATATTATATTTCTATTTATATTCTTCATGAAGCTAAACCTATTGGTTAGAAAGATTCTGCTCTAATCAAAGAGTAAAAACCTTCTCTCTCTACTCTTTGGCTCTAATCTAATTAAATCCGATATTCAATTTCTATTCATTTGAAAAAAGCGCTTTACCTCAATGATTAATCAGCTGTTTTTCACGAGGGAAACTGTTTTCGCTGATTAATCATTAATGTTATTAATTTCAATAAATTAAAAATCAATCCTAAGTGAATTATAACCATGTCATTAAACGATTTACCTGATATTTGTCTTTGGATGATCTTTGAAAATGTCCATGAGGCCAAAGAATTGATTCGATTGTCTAAAGGTAAGATTAAGATTCCGTTAAGTTGATGAAATTTTAAAACTTATTTACTTTCCCTTGATTCTTAAGTTTGTTCGAGATGGTCCGATTTAATTAGGCTGAGATTTAATCGAGTAAAATATCTTCAAATGATATCTGGTAAGTTAATTTCTAGTTGAACGATTTATGATTTTAATTATTATTCTTTTAATTATGAGATGAACAAGTTGATTATATCGACAAGAGCCGTTTGTGGATTAACTACATACTGTATGCTGCGACCATAAGTGATTACAATTTGATGAACTTTTTTCCAAATCTAAAGGTAATCAATGAATTTTTAGATTAAAATGATGTTACTAATTATCTTTTAATTTAATGTTAGATTATTGAGCTTTCGCCTTTCGCCTGTCTTAGTCTTCGATCTTATAATTTGACAAAAATGATCAACAATAGTTCAAAAATCAAAGGATTGATTGGACTTTATGAACCTGTTGAGAACGGATATAACTTGGAAAATATCGAATTGGTTTCATCAGATTTCAAATTCGAATTCAAAAAAGTCTTTCGACCTGATCAGTTGAAACAGATTCACTTTAGACGAATACACTTGTCAAGACTATCTCAAATTATCGAATACTTTCCGAATTTGAAGCGAATCAGCTTGACACTTCGTAATGGTACGTTCACATCGAATTAATGTTTGAAATGTTCTAATTTCTTTTTTTTTGTAAAGACACAAAAACAAATTACGATGGTGCAAATTTGGTTGGTTTGAAGATACTCGAATTAAAAGCAAAGTTTCCTGACTCGTTTGGGTTTCATCTTATTGATTCTTGTCCATTTCTAGAAAGTTTATTCTTCTATTATAATGGAAGTGATCTTTATGTAGACGAATCGATGAAGAATTTCAATCTGAGAGATTTGGTTATCGATCATGTAAGTGACTGAATGAAAAATTCGCATTTGATTAATTTTTTTCTCTAATTATTTCTATCCAAAGGCTCTTTTTTTTACCTGGCCATTAATGCGAAGAGTTCTGTCCAAATTCCCGAATTTACATCATCTTTCAATTAGAAACAGTAAAGAGATTGATGATAATCATGTGAAAGAATTGGTGAAAATTTTACCAGAAATAAAATTGTTGGACTTGAGAAGATCAAAAGGAGTAACTTCACAATCAGCTGATTATTTGAACGAATTCTGTCTCAAATCTCGTCGATCCATTGAAATCTATTATGATTGTGAAGAGGAACCAACTGAATGGCCTAAATTAGGAATACCCAGAGAACTAATTGCTTACGGATTCGATTTCATGAAGCATTGTTTTTATAAGAATTTTTCCTCCCTTCCGTATCTGATTGATGAATGAAAATCGCACAATCCTTGAAATCTTGCGAGAACTTTTCAGCCGATGTGACCAAGTGAAACAAGAAAAATGGATAAATTTTCGTTAATAATTAGTATTCATACTATATCGACTCAAGCTGATGACTCAGTCACTTCAACAATCGACTGACTTTAATCAATCAAAATGCCGACCAAATCATGATGTTAATTATTTACTACAATGTAATATTCCCACTTGAGTTGTATTTTTTACTTTTTTACATACATTATATTAATACATACTTATCTCTACTTGGTAATTAAAATCATCGCAAATAACTCAAATTATTTTCTTTATTTCATCATACGAACTGATAGAGTTACTATTATTGTTTGGCGCATTTGAGCATTTGACACATAACAACGTCACTAAAAATGATGAGGGGGAAAAGGAAGTGAAAATATCGTTACCATGAAATTCAATAGATTTATGGAGGAAAAATTTTAACATTTTTCTTCTTTTCAATTCATTCTTAAGATAAATAATTCTTGTTGGATATTAATGATAATAGAATACAATGAGTGTCAGTGTCATCGTAATAAAGGATTAGAAGTCAAATCATCGTCATTTAACCAAAGCTATCAGAAGCAATAGTTTTTTGGTCTTAAAATACAGTCACTTTTGCTATAAATAGTTTGACAATGTTTGATGAAATAATATTTCATTCGAGCAAACATAAAACATTTGGGTGTTTATAACTTGAGTGTAGTATAACTTTTAATTAACTTTAGTCTCAGTTAGACCATCACTTTTTAAGGCCAAAAATTGCTATCTGCCTATTGCTTCCGATAGCCTCGGTTAAATGACGATGATTTGACTTATTCAGACATTTCTAAGTATTGTAGTTTCGGAGATATTAGCCCTCGAAGATCAAAGGCCACTTTCTCATTCCGATAAAACTGTTGATCAAATGAAAAAAGTGCTCAATCCACGATGTTGGCCCATACTAGGATAGTCTCAAAAATAAGTTTCAGATCATTCTCGACACTTGGGACTAATCGCCGTCCATTTATTTAAATACAACGGAATTGTGGCCAGAGCACTTTGGATATTTTTTTACCAAAACAAATTTAATTTTCTGTAAGGGCATAAAAAGTTGTCGATAAAATAAAAATTTCATGATCTAAAAACTTATCGTTGCTGAGAAAAAAACGACCTGAAGTTTTAACTTCGAACTCGATTTTCTCGAAAACTACTGATCAGATCAGAAAAAAATAAATATATTTGGACTTTATATTTGTAGCCTTAGTAATACACAAAGTTTCAACTCTAAACTCAAAACTAAAATTCGGCGACCATCCTCCTTAATGGTCTAAATTGGACACTACTCAGTAATTGTCTACGGATTCGATTTCATGAAACATTATTATTATAAAACCTGAAATTACTCTCGGATTTGCTCGATGAAGATAAATAAATTTCTAATTAAGCTGAAAGTTAATTAATCCAACATAATAACAATTGAAATTGAAAAATTGAGAGTTTCAATTGTATGAGAAAGAAGATGAAAAAGTAGGAGGATGAAGATGAAGACGAGAGAGTAGAACAGGGGAAATGTTTCGATTATAAGGAAAAGTAAGACAAAAATCCTGAACTGGTTCCGATAAGCTGAACATTTCGAATTGGAATAATTTATCGTTTTGAGTGAAGTTTATGCTTCCCTCTGATGAACTAGAATTGTAACTTATTCTAACGAACCAAAGTGGCGCGAATTGGTAGTTTCTTCTAACGGAAGATTAAAGAGTAAAGAAGATGAAATAATCAACGAAATGGCCTAAATTGATGAATATTAATTCGATGATCGAATCAATTTGTTATGGATTTGATTTCATGCAGCATTGTTTTTACGAATCTGCCAACTGTCTTCCAGTTCTCATTGACGAATAAAAACTGAATTAAACTTCAATAATTGTCAAAGTTTGATATCACTTATGTTAAATATTTCATTTTTCGTCCGCTCTCATGTCAAAGAAACCAAAGATCACGAATTGATGATTAAGAGATGACCGGTTTTCAGATGAAAGCGCATCGAGCTTCGGTGTCCACTTCTATTCATTCTTTCTACATTAACTAACAAAGATAATAACTCGAAATTATTAATATCAAACAGATTTATATTCTCAATTCGGAATATTCCTCAACCAATCTTCAATTGAAATCTTTAAAATCAACAATAATCACAATCAAGATGAGCGCCATTGAAGTTACCCTTTCCTGTCAACGGAGGCATAAAGTACAAGAAACTATCAGCTGATATTTAGAAGGAACCGATTAAATTTAAAATTTTTGTTGATCTCTTTAAATTGAAATTTTCAAGTGAATTATGTCAATTAACAAACTACCAAACGAGTGTCTCTATATGATTTTGGACCATTTCAATGGATTCGAAGAGTTGATCCGATTGTCCAAAGGTAAGGTCGAGATTATGTTTAGATGATGAAATTCAAAACTTCTTTACTTTTCCTTGATTCTAAAGTTTGTTCGAGATGGTCCGATTTAATTACGCTCAGATTTAATCGAGTTAAATATCTTCAAATGATGTCTGGTAGTAAGTTAATTTCGTATTGATCTGTTTATTATTTTATTAATACTTTTATTCAAATTTTTTAGGAAAAGTTAAAGTTGATTATGGTGCGTACAGTTTGATGATGCCCGATGATACGTATATGATTATGTATGGTAAGTTAATTTCTCATTGATCGGTTCATTATTTTATTAATACTTGTTTCCAATTTTTGCAATCGAAGATGAAGTTGATTATATTGATGCGAACAGTTTGTGGATTAATCCTAATACGAATTGGAATGATTATAATTTATTCGAATGGTTTCCGAATATTAAGGTAATTAATGAATTGTTTTGAATCAAAATTATGTTGCTTTCTAATCGTTTTTTAATTTGACGTTAGATTATAAACACTGCGTCCTTGCGTCCTTATGAATCTTACAATTTACCAGAAATTGTCAAAAATAATCCACAAATAAAGGGATTAATCGGTATGGATCACTTACATGAAGATGGTTACTTGGAAAATATCGAGATGTGCGATTCAGAATTTAATTTCGATTATAAAAAAGTTTTTCGACCTGATCAGTTAAAACAAGTTCGCTGCTACGATTTTCATATGAAAGATCTTCCTTCATTCATTGAATATTTTCCTAATTTGAAGCGACTCAACTTGCGACTCTATAAAGGTGAGATTCAACTTCAATTAATCTTCCGATTATTTCATATGATTAATATCTTTTAGGGTCAGGGAAATGGTGGAAGTCTAATGTACCGGACGGTGTTTTTTACAATGGACCAAATTTGTCTTCGTTAAAGATTCTTGAATTGATTACAGGTGATTTGGTTAAACAATTCACCGGATTTCATTTCATGGATTTTTGTCCCTCTTTGGAAAGCGCTTTCTTCTATTGTTGGGCAAAGGATGTTTATATAGATGAATCGATAAAGAATTACAATCTAAGAGATTTGAATATCGTTAATGTAAGTCAATCATCGAGTTTATAAAATTATCATTAATTGTTTTCTTTAGTTTCAGTTCGATAGTTTTTCGTGGCCACTACTTAAAAAACTGGTGTCTAAATTTCCTAATGTGCAACATCTAGCAATCAGATATATTGCTGAGCTTGTTGTTAGTAAATTTCATTTAGATGAATTGATAAAATTATTACCAAAGTTGAAGTTATTGGACTTACGGGTATCTAATACATTCAAATCGGATGATTTTCTGTCCAAATATTGTGTCAAAGAGAATCGACCAATTGAACTTTATTACAGTCGCACAAATGAACCCACCGAATGGCCTAAATTGGATGAGACTGACGAGCCAATTTGCTATGGATTCGATTTCATGAAACATTGTTTCTACAAAACAAGCGACTGTCTTCCAGATCTCATTGATGAATAAAAACGATTACTTAATCACAAGTTTGATTATTCACTACAGTAGTGATTTCACTTAGAGCAACAACGAATTCATAGTCTCCCCCTATCGGGTTAGTGTCATTAGGCTTGGAAAAGGTAAAAGGTTAGTTCACCTTTTTTATAAGAAATTAACCTTTCTGGTTATGTAGAGAGCGCTGAAATTTGCTCTTAGTGAGACCACTACTGTATAAGTTTTGTTAAGTATCCATATGGTAATTAAAATAAATTGGTTAATCATATCACAATATAATTTTCTGCATTCTTTTTCTTACCAATTGATATTGAGTTTATTAATAAAATATACGATTGTGCATCTATCATGTTTCGAGGTGAAAGTTGAAAGTTAATTTTTTATCGTCTTATGGACGAATAGATCGCTTTCGTTAATTATTTTTGGTTAATTCGAGCAACTTACAGTATTTCCCGATTGAAGAAACCAAAACGACTTTTAATTGTGATTGATTAAGTAATTCTAAGTCGAAATTAAATTTAAATGTATGATGATTTTGAATATTAAACTTCATTTCTAAACCGATTTTCGCTTTAAAATTAATCAAATAATGAGGGTCCGAAGTCTCGTATCATTGATTTCGATTAGTATACGAGTAAAACCATTGGAGTTTCTATAAATGAAAACTTGGTTTCTTCAATCGGGAAACACTGTATATTCTTCATGAAGGTAAATCAATTGGTCATGAAGATTCTGCTCTAATCTAATTAAGATCCGATATTCGATTTTTATTCATTTGAAAAAAGCGCTTTATCTCAATAATTAATCAGCTGTTTTTCACGAGGTAAACTAATTTTGCTGATTAATCATTAATAATGTTATTCAATGAAAAGTTATCGGCATTTCCATAAGTTTACAGATCAATTATACGTGAATTGTGCTTTTTAATTATGTCACTAAACGATTTACCTGATATTTGTCTTTGGAAAATCTTTGGAAATTTCCATGAGGCCAAAGATTTGATTCGATTGTCTAAAGGTAAGATTAAGATTCCGTTAAGTTGATGAAATTCTTATGCTTATTTACTTTCACTTGATTCTTAAGTTTGTTCTAGATGGTCCGATTTAATTACACCGAGATTTAGGCGTGTGAAATATCTTCAAATGATGGACGTTGATAGTAGTAAGTTAATTTCTCATTGATCCATTCATTGGTTTATTAATACTTGTTTCCAATTTTTGCAATCGAAGATGAAGTTGATTATATAAATGCGAACAGTTTGTGGATTAATCCTAATACGAATTGGAATGATTATAATTTATTCGAATGGTTTCCGAATATTAAGGTAATTAATGAATTGTTTTGAATCAAAATTATGTTGCTTTCTAATCCACAAATAAAGGGATTAATCGGTATGGATCACTTACTTAAAGATGGTTACTTGGAAAATATCGAGATGTGCGCTCCAGAATTTAATTTCGATTATAAAAAAGTTTTTCGACCTGATCAGTTAAAACAAGTTCACAGCCGATACTTTTATATGGATGATCTTCCATCATTCATTGAATATTTTCCGAATTTGAAGCGACTTCACTTAAACCTCTGTAAAGGTGAGATACAACTTCAATTAATCTTTCGATTGTTTCTTATGATTAATATCTTCTTACGTTTTTTATTTTAGAGGACCCAGTTTTTTACAACTTTTGTGAAGTTTTTTACAATGGCCTGAATTTGTCCGCGTTAAAGATTCTTGGACTTTGTACAAACGGCTTTGCTGCAAAATTTAATGGATTTCATTTTATGAACTTTTGTCCATCTTTGGAAAGCGCTTTCTTCCTGTGTATGTCATATGATATTCATGAAGATGAGCCGATAAAGAATTACAATCTAAGAGATTTGGTTATCGAGAATGTAAGCTAAATCATTGAGTTATAAATGTTTATAAAATTTTATTTGATTTCTTTTTAAATGTTTATAAGATAATCATTAATTTTTTTCTTTAGCTTTGCTTTGGTTGTTTTCTGTGGCCACCTCTTAAAAAACTGGTGTCTAAATTTCCTAATTTACAACATTTAGCAATCAGAAATTTTGATATGCTTGATGATAGCCATCTTGATTTAGAAGAATTGATACAATTAATACCTAAGTTGAAGATATTGGACTTACGGAAATGTGAGAAAGTGACGCAAAAATCAGCTGATTTTCTGTCCAAATATTGTGTCAAAGAGAATCGATCAATTGCATTATATTACGATTGTGAAAACGAACCCACCGAATGGCCTAAATTGGTGGATACTTACGAACCAATTTGCTATGGATTCGATTTCATGAAACATTGTTTTTATAAGAACTTTTCCTACCATCCGTATCTGATTGATGAGTGAAAACCTCACAATCCTTGGTATCTTGCGAGAACTTTTCAGCCGATCAGACCAAGTGAAACAAGAACAACAGATAAATTTTCGTTAATACTTAGTATTCATACTAATATATCGACTCAAGCTGATGACTCAGTCACTTCAACAATCGACTGACTTGAATCAATCAAAATGCCAACCAAATCATGATGTTGATTATTTACTACAGTAATATTCCCACTTGAGTTGTATTTTTTTACTTTATACATCTCTCATAATTAAAGGTATCATATCACATTTAATTGTATTATATTTTATAATATATTTTCTGTAATTATTTCATTTCTTACGAACTGATACGAGTTATACACGAGCTACTTATTATTGTTTGATGAAACAAAAGCATATGACACATAAAAACGTCGAAAGAGACGATCGAAAAACGGTGATCATGTCACCATCACAACTCATTTTGTCTTATCCAAAAAAAGCGCTTGTTCTTAGTAATTAATCAGCTGTTTTTCGAGTGACTTCACTCCTTTCAAATTACTACCTCAACATTTCTACACGTTTTTTAATTAAAGAAGTGATTTCACTTAGAGCAACAACGAATTCATAGTCTCCTCCTATCGGGTTAGTGTCATTAGAAAAGGTAAAAGGTTAGTTCACCTTTTTTATAAGAAATTAACCTTTTTGGTTATGTAGAGGGCGCTGAAATTTGCTCTTAGTGAGACCACTACTGTATTAATTAGTGAAATTATACAATTGTAATTATGTCATTTAACGATTTACCTGATATTTGTCTTTGGAAATGTCCATGAGGCCAAAGATTTGATTCGATTGTCTAAAGGTAAGATTAAGATTCCGTTAAGATGATGAAATTTTAAAACTTCTTTACTTTCCCTTGATTCTAAAGTTTGTTCGAGATGGTCCGATTTAATTACACCGAGATTTAGGCGTGTGAAATATCTTCAAATGATGGACGTTGATAGTAGTAAGTTAATTTCTCATTGATCCATTCATTGGTTTATTAATACTTGTTTCCAATTTTTGCAATCGAAGATGAAGTTGATTATATAAATGCGAACAGTTGTTACAGTATATTGTATCAAAGAGAATCGATCAATTGTAATTTATTACAATTGTGAAAACGAACCCATCGAATGGCCTAAATTGGTGAATACTCGCGAACAAATTGTCTACGGATTCGATTTTATGAAACATTGTTTTTATAAAACTTTCAATTCTCTTCCAGTTCACATTGATGAACTAAGATCGACTGACTTGAATGAACAAAAAAGTCCAAATAAATCACGAGGCTGATTATTCACTATGTTTATTAAATATCTGCTCAGCAATTAAAATCATCGTGGTACATTGTATTATTATAATTATTTTCCTTATTTCATTTCATACGAACTGATATACATGTATTTACTATTATTGTTTGGCGATAACAAAAGCATTTGACACATAGAAACGTCACCAAAAATGATGAGGGGAAAAAGGAAGTGAAAATATCGTTATTATGAAATTCAATAGATTCATGAAGGAAACATGTTAACATTTTTTCTTCTTCTTTCTAATTCATTCTTAAGATAAATACAGTCACACCTCTCTAATCGCCCCCTCTATCATGTCACAAATTCTTTAATTTCACGATTTAATTTTTCCCCGATTAAGGAGATAGAGAATATAGTTGTAATATGTCACGCTCTCCAATCTCACAATCACACTATTTTAGGGCAATTTGTGAGATTCACCATGGTAATTGTGTTTTTGTCCAATGAAAATGAGCTAATCTGGCTCAAATTATGGAATCAGCCAGTAAATTGCATCATTTTTTTGAGAGCATCCCAAAGATTATCATTACAGAAAGAGAAAAAGTTAATAAGTTAAAAGAAATAATGAAGAGGTTTAAGGATCAATTCAGTGTTGTAAATAAGATTCCAAGAAGTAAATGCAAAAAAATTGATTTTCACCTCTATAATTAAGAATTAATAGATTTCCATAAAGTCACAATTTCCCAAATTTCACAAGTTTTTTGGGTCCGGTGGGGGTGAAATTAGAGAGGTGTGACTGTAATTCTTTTGGATAATATCATCTAAGGTTCAATAATACTTGTAGAATACAATGAGTGTCAGGGTCACCATCGTAATAGAAGATCGGATCGATCGAGGAATCGAAACTCTTCCCACCTTTAGAATAAATTGATTTCAAGTGAATTATTTAAATTAATAATCTACCAAACGAGTGTCTTTATATGATTTTGGACCATTTCAATGGATTAGAAGAAAATTTGTGAAAGGAACCAAATTAATAGCCCAAATGGGACACTACTCAGTAATTAATTGTCTACGGATTCGATTTCATGAAACATTATTTTTATAAAACCTAAAATTACTTTCGGATTTGCTTGATGAAGATAAATAAATTTCTAATTAAGCTGAAAGTCAATTAATTCAACATAATAACAATTGAAATAACGAGTTTCCAAAGCGAGTCAAGAAATTAAAACACGATTGAGCATCTATCATGTTTCGAGGTGAAAGATGAAAGTTCATTTTTGATCCAATTTTACGAATTGGTCATTGCGATAACTCACCATGTTAATATTTCGAGACACTTATACTCTTAATGAGGGTAAATTAATTGGTTATAAAGATTCTGCTCTAATCTAATTAAGATCCGATATTCGATTTCTATTCATCCGAAAAAAGCGCTTTGTCTTAACAATCGATCAGCTGTTCTTTACGAGGGAAACCAATTTTGCTGATTAATCATTAATGTTAGGACTTATCCGAAATGGGTAAGGCATAAGATATGTCCGTCAGCTCGATATCTTCAATTTTCAGCTGATTTTTTTCTCGGCTTGAAGTTCGGTTTGATTGTTTCAGGCCCTCCGGGCCTTTCTTTTGTCATGGCGACCCTTATTAGCGAAGACCTAACCTAACCTAATTTAAACAAACATAATTAACTGAACAATTAAGTCCATTTTCATATGTAGCTTGAACTTTAAGCCGAAAAAAAATCAGCTCAAAGTGAAGATATCGAGCTGACGGACATATCTTATGCCTTACCCCGAAATGTGTAGTATTTACTACATACTACTCTAGATAGTATTTACTAGATAGAAAATACTTAAAAGTAGCATCCGAATCACCTACTAGTTAGAACGCCATCTATCGTAATTAAATTCAACTAAGGTTTAATATTCCAATGTTCTATCAATACAAAAACATCAATTAAAGGATTATTTAATTTTTTTATTTATTTTAATTAAATTAATAGATGTAGTACTGTCGAAAATTAATCAAATTTTATCTTTAAAAATTATTAACTAAAATTTTTGTTTATGGCGGGCTCATTTTTCATTAAAAACAATAGTAAAGTCTTTGTTTACCTTAGCAACCCAAAAGTAGTGTGAGGGGATGAAAAGTAGATGAGCAAAATCACCGACTAGATTTCCACCCCTATACTATCCCTAATGCCATGGTAACCACTAAATAGTTTAGTGTAAATTTTCAGATTCGGACAGTACTACTTGGGCGGAGCTACTAGTTAGTGTTAGCAACTAGTAAAAACTACTCATTTCGGATAAGTCCTTATTCAATTTTCATGATAAGACTCATCTGATAAGTTATCGTCATTTCTTTAAGTTTACAAATCAATAATGTCATTTTACGATTTACCTGATAATTGTCTTTTGAAGATCTTCGAAAATGTCCATGAGGCCAAAGATTTGATTCGATGGTCTAAAGGTAAGATTGAGATTCCGTATAGACGATGAAATTCTAATGTTCATTTATTAATAATTTCACTTGATTCTAAAGTTTGTTCGAGATGGTCCAATTTAATTACGCCTAAATTAAATCGAGTAAAATATCTTCAATTGATACATAGTTGTAAGTTAATTTCTCATTGATTTGTTCATTATTTTTTTAATACTTGTTTTTAATTTTTGCAATCGAAGATGAAATTGATTATATTGATGCGAATAGTTTGTGGATCAATCATTATACGAATTGGAATGATTACAATTTAATCGAATCGTTCCCGAATATTAAGGTAATTAATGAATTTTCCAAACCAAAATTATGTTGCTTTCTAATTGTTTTTCAATTTGAATTATTGTTTTAGATTATAAAGACAGCGTCCTTGCTTCCTTATAAATCTTACAATTTACCAGAAATCGTCAAAAACAATCCACAAATCAAGGGATTAATCGATATGGATAAATTACGTAAAGATGGTTACTTGGAAAATATCGAAATGTGCGCTGCAGAATTTAATTTCAATTATAAAAAAGTTTTTCGACCTGATCAGTTGAAACAAGTTCGCTGCTTTTATTTGCATACGAATGATCTTCCATCATTCATTGAATATTTCCCAAATTTGAAGCGACTTAACATAGAACTCAATAAAGGTAAGATTCAACTTGCGATAATCTGCCGATAATTTCATATGAGCAATATCTTTTAGGGTCTGATGTAGCGGACGGCGTTTTTTACAATGGACCGAATTTGTCTTCGTTAAAGATTCTGGAAGTAGGTACAACCAATTTTTTTGACCAATTCACTGGATTTCATTTTATGGATTTTTGTCCATCACTGGAAAGCGCTTTTTTCCGTTGTTGGGCAGAGGATATTTATGTAGATGAATCGATAAAGAATTACAATCTAAGAGATTTGGTTATCGAATGTCATGTAAGTCAGTAGTTGAAAAATCTTACCAGATTATTATATTGTATTAACTTTTTCTTTCTATTCAGTCTAATTGTTTTTCGTGGGCAACACTACGAAGACTACTTTCCAAATTTCCTAATCTACATCATCTTAGGATCAGAAGTATCGGTGTAATTAAAGACAGTAAATTAGAAGAATTGGTAAAATTATTACCAAAGTTGAAGATATTGGACTTGCGGCAATGTGCGAATGTGAACCACAAATCAGCTGATTTTCTGTCCAAATATTGTATCAAAGAGAATCGATCAATTGTAATTTATCACAACTGCAAAAATGAACCCACTGAATGGCCTAAATTGGTGAATACTCGCGAACAAATTGTCTACGGATTCGATTTCATGAAACATTGTTTCTACAAAAAATTCAGTTGCCTTCCAGATCTCATTGATGAATAAAACGGCTGACTTGAAATAATTTCTCAGCCACCAATTTATCACTGATTGTAACAATTGATTCCTTGAAACTCAATAACTCAAATATGTCGAACAGCTTCATGACCACTATAACAAAAATTACAGTTAAATAGAATCCAAACGTAAATAGAAAGCAATTTCAGGTCAATGTAACGGAAGCTTATGTAATAAGATTACCACGTTCTCACCACAAGCAAGACGAAACTTCTCAATATAAGACAGGTAAACAGTTACCTGAACACCGACATTGACAATTTTTTATTTGATAGCATAACCAACAATCTTTATTGAATTGTAACTCTATTGAGTCTAATTGTCATCAAGAAAAAAGTTTCAATCTCAAAGTTAAGACAATTATTCAATAATATTATATATAAGTGCTAATTGGTTAACTATTAAAATGTCTAATTAATGGAACGAATCAATTAAAGTTTAATGTTAATAGAGAACCGAAATCTTTAATTATAAACCTTTCAGATTTGATTCAAATTTAAATCTTTGAAACTCAATAACGGTAAAAGATTAACATAAAATCATCAATTCCATGAAATCAACGTTCCGCTACTTTTATCCCGGTGGATATTTCCTACTCATCCTCATTATCATGGCCAATCTTTAATGACTTTTAATCATCTTAATAATTTTCCATCATTCCGTCTGTCACTATCATCATCATTATCGTCAACCATTCAACTGTCAACCTTAAATTAAGATCACTAATCACGTCAAAAGTTTTCAGTTAACTTTCTGGACATAGTTCACTGAGTAATTTATCTCTCTCTCTCTCTCTCTCTCATTCCGTTTTTGTCATCTTTTTGTTCATCCTTCATCTTCATCTTTTTTCTGCTATGAAAATTTCAATAAAAATCCTTTCAAATCGTTCTCATGCTAACAGTTCATTGTCTCTCCTTTTCATATTATCTTCAGCCTTCAACCTTAACCTCTCTCTCTCTCTCACTCACTCACTCATTCATTCATTCATGTCATCATTTCCCATCGTCCAATTTTAGTACTAGTATCATCGTCATCACTGTTTCTACATCAGTCTCATCTAAATCCACCATCATGATAATAAACTTTTACATTGTCTTGGTTCTTGTAACTTTCATCTCGGTGGTTAATTCATTCCCAGGTAAAGATTAACGGCTATTCTTAAATGTTCAGTGTCAATTTTTCTATGTGATCTTTTAACTTTTTCTTGTTCACGTTCTTGTTTACTAGAATCGAGTAAATTGTCGACCACCAAAAAAAGTCAATCAAAATCAATCAGTGGTCGATCTGGTGGAAGTTTTGAAAATTGTTATTCCAAGGGAATTGTTCATCAACATGGTTCTAATTTAACTCGATCAGATGATCCGTGTGAAAGGTGCTTCTGCTACAAAGGAACAATTCTCTGTTGGAATATCAATTGTCCACAATCATTGGATCGAAAAGGATGTAAAGAGATCAAAGTTAAAGATCTTTGCTGTCCAATATTAGAATGCCGTAAGTATTGATATTAGATAAGTAAAACTTTTCGATTTCATCGAACTATCAAATTTATATAATTCTAAAGCCTTAGAAGGGAAAGATGCCGTTTTCAAGGATATTATTGGACGTCAACCACGAACTACACCAGACGAAACTTCCGAACCCTCGATTACACCTAAAGAGATCACCTGTAAATATGGACGAGAGAAATACAAACCTGGCCAGAGAGTGACCATTAACCCATTGAAACCATGTCAACGGTGTATGTGTAGTAATGAAGGTAAAGTTAAATGTGAACTTGCATCTACATGTAAAGATGAAAGTCTAATCAAAGAATTGAAAAAACAATCAAATCTAATTAGCAAAGATTCTGATCATAAAAAGGAATCAGAAAATGTTTCAAGTTTCAGCACCCGAACGATTCCCGATGCAATATTGAAAAGAGTACAAAATTTACTTCACAAAGTTTCAACTCACAATTTAACTTCAATTAATCCAAACGATTTAAACTAAAATCTAAATCAATGATCATCAAACAATCACTTTAATATAATTTACCAACAAATTAATCACAAACCTCATTTACTCAATCAAACTATCAACACTATTGTATATTTATAATCATTTTATTGGAAAACTTTTCTTCACAATCTAAATTACTGTTACAATTTTTTGACATCAACGTTAATTGTTTGATAGTAATAGATTGACACAATCAGATTGATTGAACTTCATCTCATCTAATTAATAATAAAGGTTGAAAATGACACAATCCATTATATTGAAAGTTCTAATTCGGCTAATTAAATGTCAACTTTAAATTGGTGATCATTAACTTTCATCGTACATACAAAAACCCAATGTTGACACATTTGTACTTCATGATTCTGGCCAATGGTCAGCAACGGTTAACATTTGAAATACATAACAATAATAATACACTAGACTCCATGATGACCTAATTGTCGGTGAGAAAATTAAACTTAATTAGTGAATAGTTTGAAATTTTTCTGAGAATATAATTGTTACCAGAATTAAGTTTTTAGTTGTATATCTTAATGAGCCCAGGATTGTAAAAAAGTTTCTATCAACTAAATGGTCAATGAAAAGAAGGACAATTAATTTTGATTCAACTGATGATTTAGTATAAAGTATTTTCCTTATACAATTTGAGGTTTTAATTATCTGTTAGAAATGAGAACAACAATTAGAGTTAAGCAAAAGACACTGATTGTTTCGTTCCAATTTCATTGAATCATACCTGAGATTGACCGTATATACCGATGAGAAATTGAATATAATGACCGAAAAAGGAACCGGAAATCCCACAGCAAATCATGGCCACTTTGATTGACGAAGGTATCGAGGTGAAAAAGATCAAAAATACGATGATAATATAAGCGATAAAAGTAACCAGAAAATTGAGTGAATTTTTAATACCATGGAAAAGATCACTGAATATAAATTCTTGAAATGTTCAGTAAAATGAGTTACAATGAATCGAATCCTTTTACCGGGAATGAAATCGTCGTTCTCAATGGTCAAGGGTTCACCTTCATTCGGATGGACATTGATTGTGAGAGTTGTCACCGTGAGAAACTTGAGATACTCAATCCAAACATAAGCATAAAGGACATAAATGAAGACAAAATTTATCGAAAGTGTCATAATGTAATAACAACACCATGTATTGAGAAATAGATTAACGCTCATGGGAAAGATGAACTGCCTGGGGGCTTTGAATACGGGTAACAAACTGAGGAAGAAAAAATAAGCTGAAGTAATTAACCAAGTGTTTGCTTTAACCAATCGACGAAACTGTTTGGCCAAATCGTCAAAGTGACCCCACTTCTTGTATTGACCGGTTTCCAGGATTTCACCGATACAAAGCCAAGTTTTCTGGGCTGAACTGACCGGACACATTGTATGTGCTACAAAGTGGACTCCGTGAATACATGCAATCACACACCAGATGAAATTTAAGGTTAACAAATAGAGACGGGATTCACCTAGAAAGTGTGAAGGATCACCGAGGATTAAAATTAGATCACTGGTCGGATTAATCATAATCAATGTGGAAAATTTAATTGTGTTTACAATTAGATTGATAAGTGTTAACATTGGAAACCAATATTGACCAATGTTAGTTTTTAAATCTCCAATTGTCTGTGGTAAATGGAGTGTCTGTGAACGAAGCAGCTCATTGACACTTGACCCGAATTTTGTCACTCGAAGTGACCTTTTAATCCTTGAACTTTGGCTTGACGAAGGCATCACATCAACTAATCTCGAAGACTAATAAACTAATTCAATGTATCTTTTTATTCAACAATTTCCACTAATCAACTGAGATACAATTGACTAACTCATTGGATCAATTGTAAATGTAGCAATAATTTAAATCTCTTGATAATTTGAGTTTGATTGTTTACTTTTGCTGTTTAATTAGATTCATTATTTAATGTTTCAAAAAGTTAATATTTGTCATTGTGATGATAATTTCGATATTGGAAATTGTATAAATTTTGAATAAATGTTTAATTTAATATTTGTGTTGATTTATTATTAAGATAATCATTAGATATTATCAACAAAGTTAGTTAACTTTTTGTTTGATTTAGATCGTTACAAGATTATTATTATCCTTGAATATAATATTGTGATAGACAAATTTATCTTCTTAATTGTAAATGTATGATCTTAACACTAATTAACCAGATTCTAAGTTTGGAAATTAATTAATCACTTTGATCGGTTGATTTCCACTTCTAAATAAAAGATGGCAGCATTGGTTGTTTGATCGTAACTTTAATTGTTTGTAACAATTAACTTGACCTTATGGTGAAAATATGTAATCTAATCATGGTTGATTATTATCATGATTAAATTAATCGAGAACTAATAATATTTTTGATGAAAGACCTTCAATAAGATTGGAAATAAACTTGAAATCAGTAAATTGTTACACCAATCAAATAATAGATTGAATTTATATCTTCAGGATTGATCTAAATAATAAATTAACGACTTGATTACAATTAATGAGCTCATGATTTGTAAACATTGATTAATCAGCTGAAATTAGAATTGATTTAAATCAAGATAACATCGGATGTTTAATGTTAATTGTTTATTGATCTTAATGATAATTTGAGTGATTGGATTGATTTTCCTCTTCCTGATCATAAACTTTACTTAAGTATAAATTTGTTTTTCAATTGTCATGATAATCAATATGTAAATCTAACTGACCATCAAATCAAATTGACCATTTGAACAATAAAGATAATAATATGATCATCATGATGTTTACAATGATTATAGATTGTGAAATATTGATAAAGATCAATCAAAGTTGATTATTGTTACCATAAAATAATCAGGAACCTTCAAGTTTACATGAGAATTGATTAAGAATTAAAATAATTAGGTCAATTGTAAACATATATTATGATAACAATAAAAGCTCATTGAAAATAAGCTATTAACCATTAAGTTATTATCATGATAATGGTAATGAAATGAATTAAGAGTTGTAATTGTAATAAAAGGACAAATTGTGATTGTTAAATTGTGACTGACAATCAAATTAATTGTTGGTACGAAAACAGAATTTCAAATGAAATTAACTCTATGCAAGTTCTGATTCGGTTTGTTGGGTTCCTTTTTTAGTATCTCGATGGTGGAAAATATCATTGAGATGAAGGAAAGGAAAAGGTACAAATAGAAAGAGAAATAGACACAGGATGATGAGAGGAAGGGAGAGAGAGAAAGTGGAAGATGAGGTTGTATGGTTACATGGGGAAGAGTGGGTGGGGTGTATGGAGACTTATTGATTAGGTTGGCAGAAGATGAGGGGAGAGGAGGAAGAGGAAGAGAGTTGAATCAACGATTTCCACAGATAGAGTAAGAATCTCTTCCGGGTTTCCCAAAAAACGGATCGATAAATTTACTTTCATCATGATCACCCATGAAAAGTGAGTTAATGTCACCTCAAAGATGAACATGAAAAGACTTGAGCCAGGGCGATTTAACTTGGAATTAGTGATGTTTACACAAGTAAACCAGTTGATTAACTTAATTGTCGCCGAATATTATTTTCTTAAAATACAATTGTAAATCAACAAGAATTGCTTGTTCATTCATTAATTAATATCAATTCCAGATTAGTAAAAGATTATCCCAGATAAGCAAAGATCAACACATGAACAAATTGTCAACCTATGTAACCATATGATGAATTTTTCACCAGCATAGTTGAGAGACTATTAGATTAACTTTGATATTGTATCAATTAAAATGATTAATTAGAACAGAGAATCAATGAAAGTGATCAAAAACTACGTTGATTAACATAATTAACTTCAGACATTAGACTAAAAAAAAAGGTAAACAAGTTCACTGGGTTAATAGTGATAAATCAATAACATCAATCGTGATCATGGTGATGAATATATTCACATGGAGAAACGGGAAAGATAATTTTATGAATTAAATTCAATTTTCATATCATCATGACTCAAAACTCATTCACCTAAATTTGATTAGAACAAAAAAAAACTGAATCATTTTCCTCTCAATTAACATTCAACAAAATCTTTCACTCAAATGAATTACGTTAGTATCATCTAACTCACTTCATCAAAATCATCATCATCTTTTCCTTGTCATCAGTAGAACCTTAAGTTTACTACTGTTATGTTGTTGTTGTTGTTGTTGTTGACGATGAGATGATGAGAATGAGCATCATGATGATGGAAAAGATGGTTGCTTGGATTGACCCACATTCTGACCTGGTTCTTGTTCTGAACAAAACGAACTTTTTTCTCTCTCTCTCTCTCATCATGAAACTCCTGCTGAATTTTTCTCTCCCTTTACTTACATTCAAACACTTTTCCCTTTTTACACCCCCTTCTCTCTCTCACTATCTTCCACTTCTCCCCTTACCCTCTCTCTCTCTCTTTTTCTTTCTTCCCAATCTCTCTCTCTCTCTCATTCCCTGTCTATCTTCCTCTTCCATTTTATCACTCACTCACTTACTCACTCACTTTAACCCAAAAATCGTCATCACTACAAACCTGCTCACTACGAACCCAAAGTAACATCAACAAAACAAAATAAACAATAACAATCAAACGTTTACGATATTAACTGTTCAAAGAAAAACGGAAATCAAATTAAACGACATTTTCTAGTGACATCAAATCAACGGAATAATAAACAATTAAAACAATTTAACAATCATCGAGTAAATTGATTTCAATTTACTACTACTAAGTGTGTGTGTAGTTTTTACATTGACAATTATCATTAAGTTTGACTTTCCAAACAATTACTACAACTATTCATCATTACAATAATCCTCAAAGGTGAGTCAATGTCAATCAGTTAATCCTAAAATTAACTAATTGTAGTTGTTGATTTTGATTGTAAAAACAAATGATCATCTTGCTTTCACTTTCATTTACGTTTTCCCATTCACATAAATCGTTACCCGATTAACCTTTAAACCTCCCACTCTCTACCTTTTACACCCACACCCACTTGATTCATAGATACCTAATAAACTTTAATCTTCATCAATTGTTAATGTTAATTGTTTGACATTAACACCAACTAATTAACTTGAATCAGTTGAAAATCAACACATATAAAACCTTCATTATCATTTACATTGTAGGTTCACAATCAATCTTGATAACCTTGACAATTAATTTCTTTCTTTCCTTCACTTTTTTTTCATCATAAATTATTTCTCTCTCAGTCTCTCCCTCTCTTCATCAACGATTTCATGATAATTACTAAATTGTTCATGATAAAATCATATGATTATCG